TTAATTATAAAATATTTTGTTAACTGATTATCTGTTACTAGGCCTATAAAAATAAGGTATATATTATAATATTAGAGTTTATTTATTTATTGGTTACGTATGTAGTGGGTGTTGGATTGTTTTTTAGAATGAGTTCTACGGAATTAAAAAAATACTCAAAACATGAGGCTTGCCATGTAAGTAATCTAAATGCTGTATTTAACCCCAAATGAGCTAGAACCATAAAATTTAAAGCCTGGTTGATTATAGATAAGATAGATCTCTACATCTCTAGTTTTCATTGGTCGTCTTTAAATTTTAAATAAATAAAAAAATTAAATTTTTAGTGATAATCACAATTGAATAGATCTAGATATCCAGCTGCTTGTTGAGGTTAAGCAGATTTTTAATTTTATGATTTTAATTTTAAACTAAAACTTAACTCTTTAAGACCTTAACGATGCTCCCAGCCGTCGACAGGTCGGCCTGCCATACTGTAACGACGCTCCCCACGATAGATGAAATTTTCTCTATTTAATTAGTTGTTTTTCATAACCCTAGTTTTTAATCATAAATGTAGGTCATGATAACGCTAGAGAGGCCAATTTTCGTTGTATTTACTTCCTGTAGTTTTCTCACTAGATTGATTTTGTATATTAAAGAATTTTTTTTATAAAACAACTCCAAAAACAGCTTTTTTTTAAACACTGTGGAATGCCGTTCAGCGGCCGTGTCGAAACGTTTACGTCGCTGCATTGTAAAATTTACCAAAATTAAAGTATTTATACTAAGACTAATCCTATCTATGATTTTTGTAGAAAAATGGACGTACTTTTGTTTTCTATGAATAAGAACTCATGAAAAGTAGTTCTTATTATTAATTTTCCCAACAGAAGCGTAATTTTTGTCTGAAAAAATCAACTCTTTATTTTTTCTTCTTTAAAACTAAGTAGGCCCTGATTATATTTCTTCAATAAATAAATAATTCCTTAAAATTTATATCAGTGTGTAGGGCATTCAATTATGATTAATTTTGATCACTAATATGTAATATGTGGGGCTTAAATTAATGGGTAAAAAGATATGAGTCATTTAGCCGCAGGGGTACTGAAAATTTTTTTTCCGGTAAAACGTGAAAATAATTACAGGCTTAAAGAGTTAAAATATAAAATATAACTTTAAAAAGACATGATAAATTAAATTTATAAAACACACATTAACATGCTAACCCAAACATGCCAAGTCCTAACCCTAACCCAGTTGAAAACTAAACTAACTTAAACTAGACTAACTAAAGTGACAAGTCTAAAAACTAAAAAGTCTAAACTCTAAATTCTAACTACTAGTCTAACCCTAACCCTAAGTAACTATTTTAGTAACTAAACACTGAAACAGTCTACTTAAGTCTACTAGTAACTACTAGTAACTAGATCTAGATCTAGTACTAAAAACAAAGTAATGAAGGATAGGCCCACGGTCACTTTGTAGTTTTTTCTGCAATAATGTAAATGACTCTGGACAAAATGTTAATACAGATCTAGATTCTAGATCTATACTAGATCTCTAGATCTAGATCTAATTCCAATTGTCTTTTCAATTTCAAGGCTTTTTGGCTTTTGTATAGGCTAGCATGAAAATGGATTGTGTTGACAAATTCTTGAGATTATTATCTTTAGCGCTGAAGATTATACCCTGTAACTAACTTCCCCTGTTGCTAGGAATGTTTTTATTGTTGATATCTGAACCAATGGTGGACAATGAACGAGAACAGTGAATAATTTAAGTATCATGATTATTATTTCAAACTGGTGCGTAGTGAACGATGCAGACTAATTTTTAGAGGTAAAACTCCATTTTAGCTTATTTTATTTGCCACTTCACGTTCACCTCCGGTTGAGCATATAGATCTATAATATATTTTATTATCAACACTCAACACAGCCAAAACACACAAAAATGTTATAAAAACGGATTTCTTAAATATTTAAATTATATTGATAGATATAGAATTATAGATTATAGATCTAGATCTAGCCTACTTATTTTTGTTTTGTTTATGAATGTGTTTTAATTAGAAAAGGTAAAAAAATATTATAAATAAGCACTAGGCCTACAGTTCCAATTAAATAATTAAATAGCGTGTGATTGTCGGCGGGAGAAAAATCCCTACATGGTCAAGGGTTCACAGTGAGTTCACATTGACTTTAATTATTATACATTATTATCAGTAATATCAGCATCTGAGCATACATCATCCATAGCTTAGGCTCATTGTGAGTTCATGTAAGTTAATTTATAATTTATGGTAACATGCCTTGCAATTATGTGTTTCTACTTTACCCATTGCCATGAAAATCTTAACTGACACGAACATATTTTCAAGAAAAAAAATTAAACCTAGATCTAGATCTAGATCTATTTAGATCTAGATCTAAAATCTAGTTACACATTTAATATTCCAAATTTTGGATTTTCCTCAAGTTTTGACAAAATTTATTTTTAAAAATAAACAAAAAATTCATAAAGAAATAGGCCCAGTGATTTCATTTGTTTATAATAAAATATGCTCAACTGGAGGTGAACGTGAAGCGGGGAATAAAATACGCTAAAATGGAGTTTTACCTTTTTAGCCTACATTTTAAGAATAACAAATAATCAAAGTTTACTGTAGTATCTAGATCTATATTAATACACAGTTACTGTCAGTATTCGTATTAAAATTAGGGGTAATCTATCGCTTTAGGAATAGGTACGTAAAATCACCCGTGGCTAGATCTAGTAATGTACAAAAAAGTTAAGGCTTTAATAGAAGTATATTGTTATATATTTGTGTCAAATATTTGATATTTGGTGTCCCCTTTTGATGGGGCCAATTTGACGGGGCTCTTTTCTTGGTGCTATTTTGATGGAGCTGTTTTGTCACTGGCCGTTTTGATCCCTCATGGATGTAAACATCACTTATCTTTATTCAATGTAAACATCACTTATCTTTATTCAATGTAAACATCACTTATCTTTATTCAATGTAAACATCACTTATCTTTATTCAATGTAAACATCACTTATCTTTATTCAATGTAAACATCACTTATCTTTATTCAATGTAAACATCACTTATCTTTATTCAATGTAAACATCACTTATCTTTATTCAATGTAAACATCACTTATCTTTATTCAATGTAAACATCACTTATCTTTATTCAATGTAAACATCACTTATCTTTATTCAATGTAAACATCACTTATCTTTATTCAATGTAAACATCACTTATCTTTATTCAATGTAAACATCACTTATCTTTATTCAATGTAAACATCACTTATCATTATTCAATGTAAACATCACTTATCTTTATTCAATGTAAACATCACTTATCTTTATTCAATGTAAACATCACTTATCTTTATTCAATGTAAACATCACTTATCTTTATTCAATGTAAACATCACTTATCTTTATTCAATGTAAACATCACTTATCTTTATTCAATGTAAACATCACTTATCTTTATTCAATGTAAACATCACTTATCTTTATTCAATGTAAACATCACTTATCATTATTCAATGTAAACATCACTTATCTTTATTCAATGTAAACATCACTTATCTTTATTCAATGTAAACATCACTTATCTTTATTCAATGTAAACATCACTTATCTTTATTCAATGTAAACATCATTTATCTTTATTCAATGTAAACATCACTTATCTTTATTCAATGTAAACATCACTTATCTTTATTCAATGTAAACATCCTTAACCTTTATTTATTATTTATTATTAAAGTTTTAGTATATTTATTTAAAAACATGTAGGCTAAATGAAACATTTTTCTATTTATTGGCCAGAATCTTCAGTCAGCTCTAGTTGGCTGATTTCCTAACAAGAATACATACAAGATTATAAAGCAGTTAATTATCTACATTCTCCTTTATTATGTTTTTATACAGCATTTGCTTTTCTTATTAAAAATATGTAATAAAACAACTGGGGTGGGGGGGGGGGGGTGGCTGGAGCAGATTAATAACATCTCATATAATTTCAATAGAGAAAATTGCTGGACATTTTAATTATGTAATTATAAATATACGAGCCGACCCGCGGCGTATAATACACCGCTATTTAGTTGTTTTATTTTCTTCTTTTCAGTAATTCATAATTTGTGAATTCAACAGTACCAATGCTGCCACTGAAAATATCTGCTTTAAAACACTATCAGTAGCTCGTTAAGGACGATAACCCCCCCCCCCTCCTTTCCCCTACCCCCCCCCCCCCTGAAAGCAAACTCCTCTTAGTTACCTCCCCTAAGTTTAAAATCGTTCCAAACTAAATTATCTGCCCCTAATAGCTGTCACTAAACCCGGCTCTACGATTGTAAACATTTAGAGTGAACCACAGCTCACCAGACCATGTAGGGGTGGGGGTGGTAGTAAGCGCGCTAACAACTTGGTGTTTCCTATGGTCTCCAAGAAGAGAATTATATATATATAGATGGGCCTATTACTAACTTTATTACCTTAGTGAGGTATTTAGTACAACAATGTAACAATACAATAACTAATTTTTATAATATAATAACTTAAGTCATGTAGTCTTGATGTAGTTGATTGATAGTAGTTGAAGAACTATACCATAAGCTATTACATTAATTATTAATTAGCTTTTTTTTTTTATATTACTTACTTACTGAATTATTCGTTAAAATTGAGCTATTGTTAGTTATGTTGGGGTTGGGTTTTGAGGAGCTGTTACTTGAACTCGGCATGAATTTGTTTTCTCATGCAGAAGGCTGGAGACTAGATCTACAATTTTTGTTAAAAGCAAACTAGATTTAGATCTATATACTTTGATTGGCTTGATGAAAGTTTCATTTTATTTATAGTCTAAAATTTTTCTAGATATTTACAAGAAGGCTATACTTAAAGCAAAAAAAAAAAAAAAACTTTATTTTACTATTAAATAAACTGTATCAGAAATGGCCAAACCCAATGACCACATCCATTTTTGCTTTCAGTGATGTAATCTTGATCAAAGGAGTCCTTGAAGTAATATCAATATCCTACTGCATACATTAAAGTTGTTTACAATCTTCCTGTAAGTGACATTTTGAAAATGTTTAGCCATGATACAGTTGTATGGCAGGTTGCTCAATGTTTTTATTTTTTAATTTTTTGTAACAGTTAAGATTTTGTCATGACGTAAGATTTGTGGGAGGATGAATGTTATTACTTTATATGTATATATATATATATATATATATATATATATATATATATATATATATATATATATATATATATATACATATATATATATATATATATATATATATATATATATATATATATATATATATATATATATATATATATATATATATATATATATATATATATATATATATATATATATATATATATATATATATATATATATATATATATATATATATAAACCGCACCTCCACTTCTCTTTCATATATCAATGTTAGCAGGTTGACATGTAAAGTATACTGATACAAGTTTCTCAGCTATTTTCCAGATATTTAGTATGGATTAGATCTTCTCCATTCAATCAGACTGAAATCTGGCAATGGATGCACGTCCATGGATAAAGTTGAATGAGACAAGCTCTCACTTTGTTGATCATTGTCTTGTTATCATTTTCTGTTCCACCATATTAGCGAGATCTGTACCAAGATGACTTTTCTAGAATTTCAGTAGTCTAGTAGCAAAATATTTGTCGTTTTTAAAAAAAACTTTCCATTATAAAACATTTCTCACGACTTTTTGTATTTGTGACTATGTCTGTTGCTGGCTCATAAAAGATGACTGGATTACCCTGACAGGTCATAAATGATGACTGGATTACCCTGACAGGTCATAAAAGATGACTGGATTACCCTGACAGGTCATAAAAGATGACTGGATTACCCTGACAGGTCATAAAAGATGACTGGATTACCCTGACAGGTCATAAAAGATGACTGGATTACCCTGACAGGTCATAAAAAATGACTGGATTACCCTGACAGGTCATAAAAGATGACTGGATTACCCTGACAGGCCTGCTAGTGTGTTGACAAAGGATATTTGTTGTAGCTGAGAAAAAGTTGTACTGCTGCAGACATTTTGTGTCTTGCTCTCAATGTTTTGTTTGTATCAGGTGAGCATCTTTCTTATATTTGTGTCAGGCTAAAAGATGCCGACAGGAGAACTAGCCCCACAACAAGCCCTGCAGCTTAGCAAGGATACAGGGAAGATCAACAGTCCAGCCAGCATGTCACCAGTTAACTCAATTTTGCCTGAGCAAACCATTTTCTTTGGCATAGAGGCAGTGGATAAACTTGTATGGAAAGGATGGGGAAAGGGAATAGAATACTCCAAAAATCTGGTTTTAAAAAATCTGACAGTGAAAATAATCAAACTAACCTACAGGTAATGGTAAATACAAAATGTCAGCATATATATATATATATATATATATATATATATATATATACTAAATCAGATATTTTGTTTTGAGATAATTTTTCTTGGGGCTCTTAGTCCTATTTATAGCTATACCATCCTGAAACTATTTTTAGTGTGCCACAGTCCAGATTTTTTTCAACATTGTACCCAAAACCAATTTTCCTGAGTGCTGGAGCTACCTTTACATTGCCAGTGAGTTTCAGGCCTTTGGAAAATGTTCCTTATGATGATGCCATTTTTTTCAAACTGCAGGTAAGGACATCTTCTACCCTAATGATTGATGTTGTTTCTAAAATAGATTTTTTTCTGTTAAGATAATCATGTAGATCACATTTTGAGAATATATTTTTGTGTTGTATTTTGTTTGATGGGAAAAAATTGTTGTTGGTATTTTGTAGGATGGGAATAGATTTTCAGTGGAGCTAATGGCCATCTTACCTGTGATTGACATCTGTATTCCAATTGACCTTGACTTCAAGATGTGTGCTGTCAAAGATAGTGTTTCCATCACCTTTGAGGTTTTCAACACAGGGTAATTGTCTTAACCTTAATGTTAACTCAGGGTAATTGTCTTAATCTTAATGTTAACACAGGGTAATTGTCTTAATCTTAATGTTAACACGGGTAATTGTCTTAACGTTAACACAAGGTAATTGTCTTAATCTTAATGTTAACACAGGGTAATTGTCTTAATTTTAATGTTAACACAGGGTAATTGTCTTAATCTTAATGTTAACACAGGGTAATTGTCTTAATCTTAATGTTAACACAGGGTAATTGTCTTAATTTTAATGTCAACACGGGGTAATTGCCTTAATGTTAACACAGGGTAATTGTCTTAATTTTAATGTTAACACAGGGTAATTGTCTTAATCTTAACGTTTACATAGGGTAATTGTCTTAATCTTAATGTTAACACAGGGTAATTGTCTTAATCTTAATGTTAACACAGGGTAATTGTCTTAATTTTAATGTCAACACGGGGTAATTGTCTTAATGTTAATGTTAACACAGGGTAATTGTCTTAATCTTAACGTTTACATAGGGTAATTGTCTTAACGTTAACACAGGTTAAATGTCTTAACCCTAACTTAAACACAGGTTAAATGTCTTAACCCTAACTTAAACACAGGTTAAATGTCTTAACCCTAACTTAAACACAGGTTAAATGTCTTAACCCTAACTTAAACACAGGTTAAATGTCTTAACCCTAACTTGCTGCATTTGTTTACCTACCAGTGACCTGGATACCTGTGTCATGTGGGAGGTCAAGGAACCTTTTCTTATTGAACCTACGGAGGCTTTACTTAGCCAACAAGCAAGTGTCAAATTTAGAGCAACATTTAGACCTCAGGTAAAGTGTCAAGTTTAGGGCAACATTTAGACCTTAGGTAAAGTGTCAAGTTTAGGGCAACATTTAGACCTCAGGTAAAGTGTCAAGTTTAGGGCAACATTTAGACCTTAGGTAAAGTGTCAAGTTTAGGGCAACATTTAGACCTTAGGTAAAGTGTCAAGTTTAGGGCAACATTTAGACCTCAGGTAAAGTGTCAAGTTTAGGGCAACATTTAGACCTTAGGTAAAGTGTCAAGTTTAGGGCAACATTTAGACCTTAGGTAAAGTGTCAAGTTTAGGGCAACATTTAGACCTTAGGTAAAGTGTCAAGTTTAGGGCAACATTTAGACCTTAGGTAAAGTGTCAAGTTTAGAGCAACATTTAGACCTCAGGTAAAGTGTCAAGTTTAGGGCAACATTTAGACCTTAGGTAAAGTGTCAAGTTTAGGGCAACATTTAGACCTCTGGTAAAGTGTCAAGTTTAGGGCAACATTTAGACCTTAGGTAAAGTGTGGGCCATCTAACCAGTTCTACAGCTATGGTTGAGAGAGAGAGAGAGAGACCACCAGGCTATCTAAACAGCTTTTATTGTGATAGACCAAATCTAATGTGTTACAACACTAAGTCATTTACTTGTAGTAGGCCTTATGGGTAGGATTAGGGTTAAGAGTAGGGTTAGGATTAGGGTTAGGATTAGGGTTAGGATTAGGGTTAGGATTAGGATTTGAATTGGGTTAGAATTAGGGTTTGGATTAGACCTAAGGTTAGGATAATTACAACTAATAAAAGTACATGAGCATTAAGGATTATTATTATTAGAACCTGAGAAAAAAAAGATGAGACAAAAAATTAAAATTCACAATACAAATAAAATATTTTAATGTATTTTGTTTTATTATTAGTTTTGAAATCCAGCAAATTCTTGCTATAAATTTTAGATATAAATTCTTGCTTTAAATTTTCACCATAAATTGTTGCTTTAAATTGTTGCAAAAAATTCTTGCCATAAATTGTTGACATAAATTCGTGCTATAAATTCTTGCTATAAATTCTTGCTATAAATTGTTGCAGGGTGCCTTTGTGTATGAAGTTACTGCAGTTTGTAAGTTTGGGCCAAATTATGAATTTTCAAGGCCAACAAAATTTTATGGGATAGGTAAGGTTTTTCCTCTGGCTAAAGTAATTTTGTGGTGAACAAAACTAGTTGCTTTCTTCTATAAATAGATCTATAAACTTTGAAATAATGGTTGGTACAAAATTTGACAAAGCAAAATCATTGCCTTACTGCAAAGTATTCCATCATAAAAAAAATTATTTTAGTATGTGAATTATCAAAACTATACTCATAGAAACTGGCTAAAAAATCTCTTTCTTTGCAGGCAAATTTCCACATCTGTTGGTCTCTCTTCCTGGAAAAAATGCTCAGAGTGCAAACAGTGACAAGCTAAATGAAGTTGAGACTGAAGTTAACTTTCAGCAGGTTGCCGTAGCAACCAGTGCTGGCAAATGGGTGGAGCTTCATAATCTCTCACCTGTTAGTACTCAATACAAATATCAGCTATTTTAAAAAAAAAAACTTGTGATTATAAAAATGATGATGGAACTAGCTGGTAAGATTTTCTCCCCTCAGGTTCGTACATTGTTTTGTGTGGAACGTGTGCCTGGAATCAGCAGGATGGAAACAGCTTTTCATTGCTCTACAACACAGGGCGTGGTGCCACCTATGAGTGTCATGAAAATACCTGTGAGTTTTCTTTAAAACAACTAAGGCATTATCCCACAAAGCAGATCATTTAGGAAAACTAAGCATTATCCCACAAAGCAGATCATTTAGGAAAGCTAAGCATTATCCCACAAAGCAGATCATTTAGGAAAGCTAAGCATTATCCCACAAAGCAGATCATTTAGGAAAACTAAGCATTATCCCACAAAACAGATCATTTAGGAAAACTAAGCATTATCCCACAAAGCAGATCATTTAGGAAAGCTAAGCATTATCCCACAAAGCAGATCATTTAGGAAAGCTAAGCATTATCCCACAAAGCAGATCATTTAGGAAAACTAAGCATTATCCCACAAAACAGATCATTTAGGAAAACTAAGCATTATCCCACAAAGCAGATCATTTAGGAAAACTAAGCGTTATCCCACAAAGCAGATCATTTAGGAAAACTAAGCATTATCCCACAAAGCAGATCATTTAGGAAAGCTAAGCATTATTCCACAAAGCAGATCATTTAGGAAAGCTAAGCATTATCCCACAAAGCAGATCATTTAGGAAAACTAAGCATTATCCCACAAAGCAGATCATTTAGGAAAACTAAGCATTATCCCACAAAGCAGATCATTTAGGAAAACTAAGCATTATCCCACAAAGCAGATCATTTAGGAAAACTAAGCATTATCCCACAAAGCAGATCATTTAGGAAAGTAAAGCATTATCCCACAAAGCAGATCATTTAGGAAAACTAAGCATTATCCCACAGATACTTTAAGTGCACCATTTGTTTCAGCTGACCTTCAGTCCTCATGTCCCCAACATCACCAGCATTGATTACTTCAGCGTGCTCTCTGTGGGTAACATCAGTCACAGTACCATCAAATGTGTTGGTTCATCTGTAGGTCAGTAGCTCAACTCTCTCAATCAACTCAGTGGGTAACATCAGTCACAGTACCATCAAATGTGTTGGTTCATCTGTAGGTCAGTAGCTCAACTCTCTCAATCAACTCAGTGGGTAACATCAGTCACAGTACCATCAAATGTGTTGGTTCATCTGTAGGTCAGTAGCTCAACTCTCTCAATCAACTCAGTGGGTAACATCAGTCACAGTACCATCAAATGTGTTGGTTCATCTGTAGGTCAGTAGCTCAACTCTCTCAATCAACTCAGTGGGTAACATCAGTCACAGTACCATCAAATGTGTTGGTTCATCTGTAGGTCAGTAGCTCAACTCTCTCAATCAACTCAGTGGGTAACATCAGTCACAGTACCATCAAATGTGTTGGTTCATCTGTAGGTCAGTAGCTCAACTCTCTCAATCAACTCAGTGGGTAACATCAGTCACAGTACCATCAAATGTGTTGGTTCATCTGTAGGTCAGTAGCTCAACTCTCTCAATCAACTCAGTGGGTAACATCAGTCACAGTACCATCAAATGTGTTGGTTCATCTGTAGGTCAGTAGCTCAACTCTCTCAATCAACTCAGTGGGTAACATCAGTCACAGTACCATCAAATGTGTTGGTTCATCTGTAGGTCAGTAGCTCAACTCTCTCAATCAACTCAGTGGGTAACATCAGTCACAGTACCATCAAATGTGTTGGTTCATCTGTAGGTCAGTAGCTCAACTCTCTCAATCAACTCAGTGGGTAACATCAGTCACAGTACCATCAAATGTGTTGGTTCATCTGTAGGTCAGTAGCTCAACTCTCTCAATCAACTCAGTGGGTAACATCAGTCACAGTACCATCAAATGTGTTGGTTCATCTGTAGGTCAGTAGCTCAACTCTCTCAATCAACTCAGTGGGTAACATCAGTCACAGTACCATCAAATGTGTTGGTTCATCTGTAGGTCAGTAGCTCAACTCTCTCAATCAACTCAGTGGGTAACATCAGTCACAGTACCATCAAATGTGTTGGTTCATCTGTAGGTCAGTAGCTCAACTCTCTCAATCAACTCAGTGGGTAACATCAGTCACAGTACCATCAAATGTGTTGGTTCATCTGTAGGTCAGTAGCTCAACTCTCTCAATCAACTCAGTGGGTAACATCAGTCACAGTACCATCAAATGTGTTGGTTCATCTGTAGGTCAGTAGCTCAACTCTCTCAATCAACTCAGTGGGTAACATCAGTCACAGTACCATCAAATGTGTTGGTTCATCTGTAGGTCAGTAGCTCAACTCTCTCAATCAACTCAGTGGGTAACATCAGTCACAGTACCATCAAATGTGTTGGTTCATCTGTAGGTCAGTAGCTCAACTCTCTCAATGATTCAGCCCCCCACCTTCTCTGTACATGTATTGGATATTTTCTCCATATAGGATTCATCCAGCACATGTACAGCTATATTGGGAAGGGATAGGGACAAGGTTAGGGATAACAATTAGAGATAAGTATAGGTATATATATAATATGAAACTAAAGGATAGTTTAGTAATTACCCTGGTGGGGGGGGGGGGGGGGAAGTAATTAGGGTAAGAGTTTAAGGGTTAGGGTTAGATTTAGGGTTAGGGTTGGCATTTGGGTTAGGTTTATTGTTAGGGTTAGGATTTGGGTTAGGTTTAGGAATGGGACTCTCTTCTTCAAAACAAAATCGAAAAAATGAAATAGAATAATCAAATAAATAGAGTGTATGAGATTATATAAAGGGTAATACTCAATGAGATTATATAAAGGGTAATACTCAATGAGATTATATAAAGGGTAATACTCAATGAGATTATATAAAGGGTAATACTCAATGAGATTATATAAAGGGTAATACTCAATGAGATTATATAAATGGTAATACTCAATGAGATTATATAAAGGGTAATACTCAATGAGATTATATAAATGGTAATACTCAATGAGATTATATAAAGGGTAATACTCCATGAGATTATATAAAGTGAAGTGGATTGTTATCTTAGACAGATGATACAACAGACGAGGAAGCCATTTTTTATGTAACCTTGTTTATTCTGAATCGGAAACGGAACATTACATGCAAGGGACATCACTCAAACATTATAAGACTAATACAAGAAGAGTGAGTTCCCCTCAACATAAAGCTCAATATATATTAACTAGCTGCATCCCGTGCTCCGCCACGGTAAATCTTTTTAAAATATACCAACTTTGGAACAGAACAAAACAAACAAAAACAACACAAACACAAACACAAACAAAACACAACCACAACCACAACACAACCACATTACAACCACAACACAATCACAACACTACCACAACCACAACCACAACCCAACCACAAAACAACCACAACACAACCACAACACAACCACAACCACAACACACGGTAAATCTTTTTTAAATGTACCAAGTTGGGAACAGAACAAAACTAAATACAACACAAACGAACGCAAAGAAAAAAAAACGAAAAAACAAACACAACACTCATAACATAAACACAATTTAAATGCAATCATAAAGGCATATTGCTCACAGTCTAGCCCGTAGCGCCTAATCGCGCCCTTTCCGGTGATTTGCACCCCCCTCAAACTTTCGATTTGCACCCCTGTCCCCCCGCCCTAAAACATTCGATTTCCACCCCCCCCCCCCCTCGCGCAATTTTTTCCAACCCATTTTTGCGCCCCCTAAGGTCGGCACCCGGGGACATATGCCCCCCCCCCCTCGCTACGCCTCTCCTATAAAACCCGAAAGATAGAATAATAATTAGAAAACTGTATAAATAATATGCAGTATCTATAATATCCGTGTTTTACCTACAATATTTCACTTTATCCATTCACGCATTTTTTTTCCAGTACTTTAAATTTTAAAAATTTACAATAGAGTTTCATAACTAAAACCATTGCGCACCTGATGAACGTGATGACGCGTCTATAATAGTGCTGAATAGTTGATTCAAAATTATAAGTAATAAACAGTAGGGCCTACATTCAGTGAATAAAATAAATAAAAGATTGCCTTTTATCAATCCATGCTAATTATAATTTTCTAACAATAATTTACTCTTACACATCCGGATAATTTGCATTCACATTTTGCTAATTATATTATTGCAACACTAATTCCTTCTATGACGACCGTATATTTGCATTCACATTTTTTATTAGCGTGAGTTTAATGTATTTTTAAATTACCTCTTTTGTCAAAATTAGAAAAAAAGAGTTATATTAATTTGATTTTTCTACCGTACTGTTATTATGTTATTGAAATGTATCCATTTTTTTCTGGGAATATAAACGAAAATGATATTTGACATTGATACTTTTAATATGTTTTAGCCGTGTGTGTATATTTAATATTTTCTTTAAGTTATGCAAAATTGTACAAACAGTGGAAATTATAAAATAGCTCTATGCCGCTATATAAACAAACCCTACTCTAATACTTATAATAAGACACTGCGGTGCACTGAAAAGCACAGCATGGTGCGTAGTTTACTTTTATAGTCCCAAAATCTATAGCGATGACGGAAGGAAGGACTGACACACTACCTAGCCGCTTATATTATAGATACTCCATGAGATTATATAAAGGGTAATACTCAATATTATATAAAGGGTAATACTCCATGAGATTATATAAAGGGTAATACTCAATGAGATTATATAAAGGGTAATACTCCATGAGATTATGTAAAGGATAATACTCAATAAGATTATGTAAAGGGTAATACTCAATGAGATTATATAAAGGGTAATACTCCATGAGATTATATAAAGGGTAATACTCCATGACATTATATAAAGGGTAATACTCCATGAGATTATATAAATGGTAATACTCAATGAGATTATATAAAGGGTAATACTCCATGAGATTATATAAAGGGTAATACTCCATGAGATTATATAAAGGGTAATGCTCCATGAGATTATATAAAGGGTAATACTCAATGAGATTATATAAAGGGTAATACTCAATAAGATTATATAAAGGGTAATACTCAATGAGATTATATAAAGGGTAATACTCAATAAGATTATATAAAGGGTAATACTCCATGAGATTATAAAAAGGGTAATACTCCATGAGATTATATAAAGGGTAATACTCCATTAGATTATATAAAGGGTAATGCCTGTCAAAGCAACTAGTTCTGTGTAGCTTACAATTTTATTAGCCCACCATATCAATAGGGCACTCTTTAAAATGTAGGACTCATGGGTAGTCAGGGGCACTTTAGGTGACAGCCTAGGCCCTGGGTGATGACCCAGGTACATTTTGACATCTAACCAGTAGGACACTGGGGCATATATGTATGTATATATATGTATATATATATATATATATATATATATATACTTTATATATGTATATATATACACATAGATTAGTTGGGCTGGAAAAATAATTTCTATATCTGAGTATCAAGGAAAGAAGTATACTTGTATCAACAAAAAAATGCTATTGTTAACATTTGACGCCAAGTTGTACTTACTGTCCCAATTATAATTGTATTTATTATCTGCCATCTTGAGGTTTTTTGTATAGCTGACCACAGATAATAGAGAAGACAGCTGACCACAGATAATAGAGAAGACAGCTGACCACAGATAATAGAGAAGACAGCTGACCACAAATAATAGAGAAGACAGCTGACCACAGATAATAGAGAAGACAGCTGACCACAGATAATAGAGAAGACAGCTGACCACAGATAATAGAGAAGACAGCTGACCACAGATAATAGAGAAGACAGCTGACCACAGATAATAGAGAAGACAGCTGACCACAGATAATAGAGAAGACAGCTGACCACAGATAATAGAGAAGACAGCTGACCACAAATAATAGAGAAGACAGCTGACCACAGATAATAGAGAAGACAGCTGACCACAGATAATAGAGAAGACAGCTGACCACAGATAATAGAGAAGACAGCTGACCACAAATAATAGAGAAGACAGCTGACCACAGATAATAGAGAAGACAGCTGACCACAGATAATAGAGAAGACAGCTGACCACAGATAATAGAGAAGACAGCTGACCACAGATAATAGAGAAGACAGCTGACCACAGATAATAGAGAAGACAGCTGACCACAGATAATAGAGACGACAGCTGACCACAGATAATAGAGAAGACAGCTGACCACAGATAATAGAGAAGACAGCTGACCACAGATAATAGAGAAGACAGCTGACCACAGACAATAGAGAAGACAGCTGACCACAGATAATAGAGAAGACAGCTGACCACAGATAATAGAGAAGACAGCTGACCACAGATAATAGAGAAGACAGCTGACCACAGATAATAGAGACGACAGCTGACCACAGATAATAGAGAAGACAGCTGACCACAGATAATAGAGAAGACAGCTGACCACAGATAATAGAGAAGACAGCTGACCACAGATAATAGAGAAGACAGCTGACCACAGATAATAGAGAAGACAGCTGACCACAGATAATAGAGAAGACAGCTGACCACAGATAATAGAGAAGACAGCTGACCACAGATAATAGAGAAGACAGCTGACCACAGATAATAGAGAAGCTTTTGATTTTTTTTTAAAAATTGCACAGGGCCAAAAGTAGAATTGAGTTTACACAGAATCAACTTTCAAGTTGTGAATGAGGGTCATAGTGGGACTCGGTCATTTGAGATCATCAACAAGTCTAACATGGAGGCTGTTTACAGGGTAAGGGTTGGTGTTTGGTCAACTATCTTTGAGACATTTCAAACAAACATTGCTACATTGAAAGCTAAAACAAAGCTGATTTGTCTACTTTAGACATTGACTAAAACAAAGCTGATTTGTCTACTCTTAAACTTTGACTAAAACAAAGCGGATTTGTCTACTCTTAAACATTGACTATAACAAAGCGGATTTTGTCTACTCTTAGTTTGAAATTGACTGTGAAGAGTCTGTGTTTAAGTTCCCTCAAACCAGTGGCATTTTAAAACCAAATTCTTCAGAAACTGTGGTCCTCAGTTTTCTCCCAGAACACCCAATCAACTACTACAGGAGAGTTCCATTTTTGGTTCACAACCAGGTTCAGTGAATTTTTTTTTGTTTTAAAAATATTTTTTTTTAGCTATGAATTTCATAATTAAGATTTATTTTAAAAAAGGTAATGCAAAAGAAAGCATTTGCAATTTTTTAAAGGAATTAATGCTTGAATGTAAAAAATGCCCAATCTTTCAGCCACCAATATTTCTTGATCTATTGGGGACTTGTCACTCAGAACTTGTCAAGCCTGCAGTTCTAAAGGGAAGACATATTTCTCGCTACTTTACTCATGTGGAGAGGGGTATTTCAGTTCTTGCCCCTGATGTAAGTCATCTAAATATTATTCTTTAATAAACAAACAAAAACCTTCTTTGATTATTATTCCAGAGTTATTAATATCCCTATTATTATTCTATATTAGTTACAGTTTTTTTAATCTAAGAAATAATTATTTGATTACAAATTACATAAACTTTTGTTCATTGACTTTTTGTTATAAGAAAAATATGTTGACTTTTTGTTATAAGAACAATATGTTGACTTTTTGTTATAAGAACAAAATGTTGACTTTTTGTTATAAGAATGATGTGTTGACTATCCCTCTTGTCATGATTTATTCTCCATGATATTTTTGTCACACTAAATTATCCAGCTGACATTCTCCATGATATTTTTGTCACACTAAATTATCCAGCTGACATTCTCCATGATATTTTTGTTCCAATAAATTATCCAGCTGACATTCTCCATATTTTTGTCACACTAAATTATCCAGCTGACATTCTCCATGATATTTTTGTTACACTAAATTATCCAGCTGACATTCTCCATGATATTTTTGTCCCAATAAATTATCCAGCTGACATTCTCCATGATATTTTTGTCACACTAAATTATCCAGCTGACATTCTCCATGAAATTTTTGTCCCAATAAATTATCCAGCTGACATTCTCCATGATATTTTTGTTCCAATAAATTATCCAGCTGACATTCTCCATGATATTTTTGTCCCAATAAATTATCCAGCTGACATTCTCCATGATATTTTTGTCACACTAAATTATCCAGCTGACATTCTCCATGATATTTTTGTCCCAATAAATTATCCAGATGACAATCACCATGATATTTTTGTCACACTAAATTATCCAGCTGACAATCTCCATGATATTTTTTTTACACTAAATTATCCAGCTGACATTCTCCATGATATTTTTGTCCCAATAAATTATCCAGCTGACATTCTCCATGATATTTTTGTCACACTAAATTATCCAGCTGACAATCTCCATGATATTTTTGTTCCAATAAATTACCCAGCTGACATTCTCCATGTTATTTCTGTCCCAATAAATTATCCAGCTGACATTCTCCATGATATTTTTGTTCCAATAAATTATCCAGCTGACATTCTCCATATTTTTGTCACACTAAATTATCCAGCTGACATTCTCCATGATATTTTTGTTACACTAAATTATCCAGCTGACATTCTCCATGATATTTTTGTTACACTAAATTATCCAGCTGACATTCTCCATGATATTTTTGTCCCAATAAATTATCCAGCTGACATTCTCCATGATATTTTTGTTACACTAAATTATCCACCTGACATTCTCCATGATATTTTTGTTACACTAAATTATCCAGCTGACATTCTCCATGATATTAGCATGTAGAGAACAGTCTGACAAAACTAACTACCAAATGTAAACAGACAGCGTACACACGACATAGAAGTCTTACATTCATGGGACATGACTAAGATATAGGTCTATGTGTAATTCATGTGAAGTAACAATAAAAAACCAATGTCCTCTGTGTCTAAGTGAGACAGGAATATTTCTGTTCATCAACCATCTCAGACAAGCATTAATATGTACATATATCATGGATATGAGATACATACAACATCAACCATCTCAGACCAGCATTAATATGTACATATATCATGGATATGAGATACATACAACATCAACCATCTCAGACCAGCATTAATATGTACATATATCATGGATATGAGATACATACAACATCAACCATCTCAGACCAGCATTAATATGTACATATATCATGGATATGAGATACATACAACATCAACCATCTCAGACCAGCATTAATATGTACATATATCATGGATATGAGATACATACAACATCAACCATCTCAGACCAGCATTAATATGTACATATATCATGGATATGAGATACATACAACATCAACCATCTCAGACCAGCATTAATATGTACATATATCATGGATATGAGATACATACAACATCAACCATCTCAGACCAGCATTAATATGTACATATATCATGGATATGAGATACATACAACATCAACCATCTCAGACCAGCATTAATATGTACATATATCATGGATATGAGATACATACAACATCAACCATCTCAGACCAGCATTAATATGTACATATATCATGGATATGAGATACATACAACATCAACCATCTCAGACCAGCATTAATATGTACATATATCATGGATATGAGATACATACAACATCAACCATCTCAGACCAGCATTAATATGTACATATATCATGGATATGAGATACATACAACATCAACCATCTCAGACCAGCATTAATATGTACATATATCATGGATATGAGATACATACAATCTTATGAACAATTGGAGACAAGGCAACTTCAGTCATGGTACACTAGTCTTTACAGTAACTAGGAAAAAATGCATGATGTGTGAACCAATATTTCTGGGAAGATTGGATTCATATCTGAACATGTTTTGTCTCCATGACCACTCATTTTATACTCAGGACCTTCCATTACATATTCTCAGTTTATACTCAGGACCTTCTATTACATATTCTCAGTTTATACTGCGTAGCAACACTCTGTGCACTTGTTATGTACTTGACTGGGATGACATTCACATTATCTCCAAAATCTATAAGGCTAACCCTAACCCTAAGGCTAACCCTAACCCTAAGGCTAACCCTAACCCTAAGGCTAACCCTAACCCTAAGGCTAACCCTAACCCTAAGGCTAACCTTAGGCACACTAACTTCTGTTGTCACAATTGCCACTTTGATCACCTTATAATGCTTACCATTGATTACCAACACCATTTCTACATTATATGCCAAGAACCAACAGACACAATTCACTTTTTCACATTTTATTACAAACACAAGCAGTCACCATGTTACATTACAAATACAAGCTGTCACCAAGTTACATTACAAATACAATTATGTTACATTACAAATACAATAATGTTACATTACAAATACAATAATGTTACATTACAAATACAATTATGTTACATTACAAATACAATTATGTTACATTACAAATACAATAATGTTACATTACAAATACAATTATGTTACATTACAAATACAATAATGTTACATTACAAATACAATTATGTTACATTACGAATACATGCTGTCACCATTTTATATTACCACACACACACACACAACACAGAGATAAGGGACATAAAACTAACAAGACAAAACAATTTGCTTTGGAATAGTTTTCACCATTTCTTCCTTTAATAAAAGAAAATCTTTTTTTTCAGTACCTGGATGAGCTTGTCAAGTCTGGAAGAATTGTAATTGACAATAATGGTTGTCTGGAAATGACAAATGATGAAGACAAAGTTAGTTTTTAGTGGCAGTATCATTTTATAATGTTATTTTTTAGTGGCAGTATTATTTCATGTTAGTTTTTAGCGGCAGCATTTTTTTTATAAAGTTAGTTTTTAGTGGCAGTATGTTTTTTATAAAGTTAGTTTTTAGCGGCAGTATTTTTTTTATAATGTTAGTTTTTAGTGGCAGTATTTTTTTTATAATGTTAGTTTTAAGTGGCAGTATGTTTTTTATAATGTTAGTTTTTAGTGGCAGCATTTTTTTATAATGTTAGTTTTTAGTGGCAGTATTTTTTTATAATTTTTTAGTGGCAGTATTTTTTTATAACGTTAGTTTTTAGTGGCAGTATTTTTTTATAATGTTAGTTTTTAGTGGCAGTATTTTTTTATAATGTTAGTTTTTAGTGGCAGTATTTTTTAATAATTTTTTAGTGGCAGTATTTTTTTATAATGTTAGTTTTTAGTGGCAGTATTTTTTATAATGTTAGTTTTTAGTGGCAGTATTTTTTTTATAATGTTAGTTTTTAGTGGCAGTATTATTTTATAATGTTAGTTTTTAGTGGCAGTATTTTTTATAATGTTAGTTTTTAGTGGCAGTGTTTTTTATAATGTTAGTTTTTAGTGGCAGTATTTTTTAAATAATTTTTTAGTGGCAGTATTTTTTTTATAATGTTAGTTTTTAGTGGCAGTATTTTTTTAATAATTTTAGTTTTTAGCGGCAGTATTTTTTTTTTATAATGTTAGTTTTTAGTGGCAGTATTTTTTTTATAATGTTAGTTTTTAGTGGCAGTATTTTTTTAATAATTTTAGTTTTTAGCGGCAGTATTTTTTTTTTATAATGTTAGTTTTTAGTGGCAGTATTTTTTTTATAATGTTAGTTTTTAGTGGCAGTATTTTTTTATAATGTTAGTTTTTAGCGGCAGTATTTTTTTATAATGTTAGTTTTTAGTGGCAGTATTATTTTATAATGTTAGTTTTTAGTGGCAGTATTATTTTATAATGTTAGTTTTTAGTGGCAGTATCTTTTTATAATGTTAGTTTTTAGTGGCAGTATTTTTTATAATGTTAGTTTTTAGTGGCAGTGTTTTTTTATAATGTTAGTTTTTAGTGGCAGTATTTTTTAAATAATTTTTTAGTGGCAGTATTTTTTTTATAATGTTAGTTTTTAGTGGCAGTATTTTTTTAATAATTTTAGTTTTTAGCGGCAGTATTTTTTTTTTATAATGTTAGTTTTTAGTGGCAGTATTTTTTTTATAATGTTAGTTTTTAGTGGCAGTATTTTTTTATAATGTTAGTTTTTAGCGGCAGTATTTTTTTATAATGTTAGTTTTTAGTGGCAGTATTATTTTATAATGTTAGTTTTTAGTGGCAGTATTTTTTCTTTCTTGTATATATGAAGTATAGAGAAAGTCTTGTAATCGTGCAAATTCTCGACGTTTTACAGCTCCCTGAGTCGGAAAATCATAGTTTTGCAATCTTGTCCGTATGTCGGTGTGTGTGTGTGTATGTGCGTGTGTGTGTGTGTGTCCGTAAACACGATAACTTGAGTACCATTACAGCTAGGTTGATGAAATTTTATATATAAGTTTTATATCAAAATCATAGATCCGTAGCAACTTTTGAGCAATTTCCAATCACCAGAAGTGGAACTTTTTCTACTTACAATTTTTCAAAAGCCTGTAACTTGAGTATTATTTCAGATAGATAAATGAAATTTCACATGTAAGTGTCTGCTTTCAAATTTTGAGTAATTTCCGTTGACTGCAAGTAGTAATTTACTCCATTTCCGATTTCTCAAAAAACACATGTGAATTTTTAAAGTACTAATAATATTCCGCACTATTATGCACATTTTGTTTGGCGTTCACTTGGTGTGCAATTCTTTTTTCAAGGAGATTTTATTTTATTTTAAAAACTTAAAGTATTTAAAAATGGATTAAAAATCATGTCTATATCGTGATGTGCCATCCATAGTGTCAGATAAAAATATTTGAGAAAGTTTAGGGGAGATTACTCCCGGTTTATTTTTTTTACAAAGTTAGTTTTAAGTGGCAGTATTTTTTTTACACAGTTAGTCTTTGGTGGCAGTATTTTTAACCATAAAATTGACTGGGAATATAAATTCAACAATATAAATATACACTAGTAACTCTAATCCAAACCAATAAATAATCATTACAATTTGTAATAAACCAAAACAAATCTTGTTGTCACTTGTGTAGGCTGAGCTTGTGACCAATATATCTCTGAAAGATGTCAGCTCAATGGATGAATATTTTAATGATGGCATACACTCACAATTTATTGTAAGTCTTTACTCATAGTTTAGTATAAAGAACAAAGGCTAGGGTTTGGGTTAGGGTTGGGTTTGGGTTAGGGTTGGGTTAGGGTTAGGGCTGGATTAGGGCTAAGGTTAGGATTAAGGAGAGTGTTAGGGCTAAGGAAAAATACTTCAGTTGAGACACACACACAACATAATTCTACTGACTCAGTTGAGACACACATACAACATAATTCTACTGACTCAGTTGAGACACACATACAACATAATTCAACTGAACTTAGTTGAGACACACATACAACATAATTCTACTGAACTTAGTTGAGACACACATACAACATAATTCTACTGAACTTAGTTGAGACACACATACAACATAATTCTACTGAACTTAGTTGAGACACACATACAACATAATTCTACTGAACTTAGTTGAGACACACATACAACATAATTCTACTGACTCAGTTGAGACACACATACAACATAATTCTACTGACTCAGTTGAGACACACATACAACATAATTCTACTGAACTTAGATTAAATGATGGGGAAAAATTGGAGGGTTGTAGGTCTAAATTATTTTATAGTTGTTGTTTCATTTGTGAAAGAATTTGTTACTCTTAGTTTTGAACAAAAATGATGATTGGCTAAAAACTATCAGCCGCTAGTATATAAGTATGTGTTCTCCATAGCAAATATTCTATTATTAAAGCAAACGTTATCCTTTAAAATAAATATGACAACTGAATTTGATGTTCATATGTTTCAGACTACAGTACCGCATGTCAGCTTGGACACACCAAGTTTAGATTTTGGAAATTGTCCAAACCTCAAAGCTACTCTTGAAAAGGTTGAAATTATATTTTTGCACATTGATAGGTTGACAAAATGTCTTAAAATCTACTTCAATCATTAAATAAATAACTAAATAACTAAATAAATAAAAAAGCAAATAAATGAATATATATATAGTATATAGGGGTCATCCATAAATGCCGTCACGCTTTTTTTGACGATTTTTACCTACCCCCTCCCCTCCGTCACACGTCGTCACAAAAAGCCAGTCCCCCTAAAATAACGTCACACCTCAACCTACAACCCCCCTCAAAATTGCAGTTGAATTTTTTTTAAACATCGATATTTTTCCAAAATCTTGTCTAAACTATTACAATTTATTAAAACAGTTATCTAAAACGCGAAATAACGTCTAAAAGTCGTTCTCTAACATTGCTTTTTTATAATGCAAAAATGTGACGTTGCAACATCTGAACCCCCCCCCCCTCCCCCTCATCACACATCGTCACAAAATAACGGACCCCTCTCCCTCTACGAGAGTGACTTCATTTATGGATGACCCCATATATTCATATATATATATATATATATATATATATATATATATATATATATATATATCTTTATCTATATATATATCTATATATATATCTATATATTTATATATATATATATCTATATCTATATCTATATCTATATCTATATCTATATCTATATATATATATATATATATATATATATATATACATATATATATATATATATGTATAGCCTGTATATCGTGAATGTATTTGTATAGTGATTGCGAATTCTTTCAAATTTCCTTAAAGACTGTAACCATAACAAACCACACGCGTGGAAAAGTAACAGTGCAGTGGAATGGTGGTAGGTATATTAGAAACATGGGCTAGATGTCATTATGATCAGGAAATTAACTCATGAAAATATGCAAGGAAAATGTGTAGATTAACTAGCTTTTAATTACTAAAATGAAATGAAGTTCAGAAACATACTAACATTTCATAAGTCTATTCCAATCCTAACCCTATTCCAATGCTTACCCTATTCCAATCGCAACAGTATATTCCAAAGCCCAAACATGTTTCTATCTCTTATTTACTTGCTTGTAATGTCCTTTTGCAGGGAGTAATGTCCCAGGGTGTAATTGATAGGGGGGGTCATTGCTCTGTGGGGGGTAGGGGGCCGGCAATTATTGGAGGGGGGGGGGGGGGGGTAATGTCTTGTTCACATTGGACTTCATACAAGTGCGTGACCTAGACCTCCTTACGAGTGTTTGACCTTGACATTTATATGAACTTGAGTGTTCGATATAGGGCTATATACCTTCATTGAAGTAATGTCAAAGCTACAGAATCAGATATTTGGATATTAGATGAAGTAAATCTGTGTTTGATATATCTCTCTCACGATTTTGATCTAAATTTTTTGATCTCCCAAAAAACATTTGACTTTTTAGACACCAGCCACACTTTCTATGTGACACCTGCAACAATTGATGTTCCACCTCTCAAGACTTGCTCATTTCGTGTCTCATTTAAACCTGTAAGTTAATGGGCAAGTTGATTATAGGAAATTATTGTCACATTTAAAATAGTAAGTTAATGGGCAAGTTGATTATAGGAAATTATTGTCACATTTAAAATAGTAAGTTAATGGGCAAGTTGATTATAGGAAATTATTGTCACATTTAAAATAGTAAGTTAATGGGCAAGTTGATTATAGGAAATTATTGTCACATTTAAAATAGTAAGTTAATGGGCAAGTTGATTATAGGAAATTATTGTCACATTTAAAATAGTAAGTTAATGGGCAAGTTGATTATAGGAAATTATTGTCACATTTAAACCTGTAAGTTAATTGGCAAGTTGATTATAGGAAATTATTGTCACATTTAAAATAGTAAGTTAATGGGCAAGTTGATTATAGGAAATTATTGTCACATTTAAACCTGTAAGTTAATTGGCAAGTTGATTATAGGAAATTATTGTCACATTTATAATAGTAAGTTAATGGGCAAGTTGATTATAGGAAATTATTGTCACATTTAAACCTGTAAGTTAATGGGCAAGTTGATTATAGGAAATTATTGTCACATTTAAACCTGTAAGTTAATGGGCAAGTTGATTATAGGAAATTATTGTCACATTTATAATAGTAAGTTAATGGGCAAGTTGATTATAGGAAATTATTGTCACATTTAAACCTGTAAGTTAATGGGCAAGTTGATTATAGGAAATTATTGTCACATTTAAAATAGTAAGTTAATGGGCAAGTTGATTATAGGAAATTATTGTCACATTTATAATAGTAAGTTAATGGGCAAGTTGATTGTAGGAAATTATTGTCACATTTAAACCTGTAAGTTAATGGGCAAGTTGATTATAGGAAATTATTGTCACATTTAAAATAGTAAGTTAATGGGCAATTTGATTATAGGAAATTATTGTCACATTTATAATAGTAAGTTAAGTTAAAGGGCAATTTGATTATAGGAAATAATTGTCACATTTAAACCTGTAAGTTAATGGGCAAGTTGATTATAGGAAATTATTGTCACATTTATAATAGTAAGTTAATGGGCAAGTTGATTATAGGAAATTATTGTCACATTTATAATAGTAAGTTAATGGGCAAGTTGATTATAGGAAATTATTGTCACATTTAAAATAGTTAATGGGCAAGTTGATTATAGGAAATTATTGTCACATTTAAAATAGTAAGTTAAAGGGCAAGTTTATTATAGGAAATTATTGTCACATTTAAAATAGTAAGTTAAATTAATGGGCAAGTTGATTATATGAAATTATTGTCACATTTAAAATAGTAAGTTAAGTTAAAGGGCAAGTTGATTATAGGAAATTATTGTCACATTTAAAATAGTAAGTTAAGTTAAAGGGCAAGTTGATTATAGGAAATTATTGTCACATTTAAACCACAATTTATAGGGCACCACAAAGCCTAACAGAAAAGTTATTTTTGGATTTTTTTTTTACATCTCCTTATCTAGGATTTACATAAATATAACACACCTACATTTATCCTTCATTTGACCCACTACCTATTTATATCCTACACTAACTTTATTGACCTACTTTTAATTTATACTTATTCATTTGATTGTCCTGATTCCAGAAGGCAGAAAACCAAATTTATGGCAATGAGCTGGAGTGTTTTGTTTCCTATAAAAGCTTGAGGGATTACAGACTAGTGGAGGACAAGACCATGTGTCCTCCTTGGTGCCTCACCCTCAGTTGTATTGGTAAGCTGGTTATAGTCAAACCTAAATCTAACCTTCAACTTCTCAGGTGTATTGGTTAGGTCAGGGGTCGGCAACCTTTTGAGACGGAAGAGCCAAAAGTTACAATTTTCAAAATTTCGCAATTTTAAAGAGACACTAACATTTTTATTTCAATATTTTATTATTTGATTAGGATTAGGTAAATAAACTTGATTTGTTATTTAAAATAAATAGCTTTAAATGTGAAATAATACTTATTCATATAAAAACATACACTTGTTTTGCCAGAATAATGAAATTAGTAATAAAAAAATAAAAATTTAGGACTATCCCAATCCACTTAAGAAGCATTTAAGATTTTTTCTTTATTTACGGATATCTCTGGCTCTAAGGGTGTCTTCAATTAGCCAGGCAGGCTTCAACGAACTCCGACTAACTGGTTTTGATGTTGTTTTGATTACCGTGTATCTGTTGCTTTTGTCCTTCCGTTCTCATTAGGCTTATCTCCACCCCATTGAACGCAGGTTAAACTTGTACCCCACCGACCTGTACCCGGCTCAACAGTAGGAAGCTAATAACTAAAAAACTACGTCACTCACGTCAAATTAATGTTGACTGACGGATAGAGAAATTCATTCTGAATAAATTACATTCTCCATTTAACAATATTTGAAAAAGTTGGCACTTGGGCAGTGGCTAGAGTAGAACTGTCGCAGTGGAGCTGGCTAAAGCACGGCTGTGGGACTGGCCTGCCGAAGCGGCTGTCAGCTGTCCGTATACTTTCTACTGAACCTAGTCTCACTGTTCTCTGATGAGTTTTTTTTCTTCTGTTTAAAGTTGTGTTTCTATACAGTATAATTTTTGTTATGTGAAGTGGATTGAGATCTTATAATTCTAGACAGATAATACAACAGACGAGGAAGCCATTTTATGTACGCCTTGTTTATTCTGTATCGGAAACGGAAACATAACATGCAAGGGACATGACTCAACATTATAAGACTAATACAAGAAGAATGAGTTCCCCCCCCCCCACATAAAGCTTAATATATTACATCCCTTTACCCTTAGTAAATAATAACACAGCTTTCAAGAGAATAAATGATAGTATCTTAAAATCACTTTGCTATTTCCTTCTTTAGTTTGAAACATTAGAATTGCCAAGCAATAATAGAAGAAAGATTGAATAATGATCCCCTTTTAATTAACAACACTTCAAAAGTCAATACAAAACATTATATGCATTCCTTCCGAAATGTTAAACAATTTAATAAGTCACTAAATATATTGTAACATAAACATTATATGATTTGAATCATTTGGTAGATTAAATCCTTACAAACAAATGCAAAATATGCTACAAACATAATTAAAATACAAAACAATGATGTCAAGGTCCTCTTAACCTTTAAAATCAAAGGTTTAACTTATCTGGGACTTTGATTGTCCTGTTTGACCTTCTCAGTGGCTGTTGATTTGGTGACTCAAGATTCTGACCATCTGGACTCTCTAGCTCAGGAAGTCCAGGATCTAAATCATTAATTCCAGAATTTACATTTTCTGACTCTAGAATACTTGGTTCACTCATATCAACAGACCTTGGTTGTGGAACAAACTGATATGGTGTGAACCGGTCGGGTTAGGGTCAAATCTGGTGGGATTGATAGATTCACACTTATTATCTGCACAAGTTATTTTTAACTGGTCTGCATGTCTACGGACAATAAGTCCATTATTTGTTTTTACTTTATAAGACACAGGTCCTGTACATTGAACAATTTGACCTGGCATCCATTTTTCCCCTCTCCCATAATTTCTCAGATACACATTATCATTAACCCCAAATTCTCTCTCAATGGATGTTTTGTCATGATTTAATTTTTGTGTCTGTTGATGTTGGGAAACAGACCTTTGAACAGTTGGATGTAGTAGGTCAAGGTGAGTTTTAATTTTCCTACCACACAGCAATTCGCATGGTGCAACACCTGTTGTTATATGAGGAGTTGTGCGGTATTTGGCTAAGAACCTGTTTACTCTTTCCCTGAGAGAAATTTTGTTACCAGTACCCATTTTTACCATAGCGGTTTTGAATATGCCTACCGCTCTTTCAGCCAAACCATTCCCAGCAGGGTGATAGGGTGATATGGTTATATGCTCAATACCATTTGCTACACAAAACAGTTTAAACTCATAACCAGTGAAACTAGGCCCATTATCTGAAACAATTTGATCAGGTAATCCATGAGTTGAAAATATTTCCTTAAGTTCAATAATGGTATCACTTGCAGTGAAGGGTCCTGCAAACTCTATATGGATACGTTTCCATGGTTCGATTGGCCAATCCCAGTTTTGCAAAGGTGCTGTAGCTGGTTGATTTGAATGTTGTGCACAGCTTGAACAAAGCTTTACATATTTTTCAATATCAGCATCCATATGTGGCCACCAGAATCACGATCGTGCAAGACTCTTCATTTTGGAAGAACCAAGATGAGTATCATGTAAAGTTCTTAAAACTTCTTTTTGTAACATTTTAGGGATAATAACCCTTGACCCCCATAGCACACATCCATCTTCTAGACTTAACTCTATTTTTCTTATTTTATATTGGAGTTATCCATGATAGTGAAAAGAACAAATACATCTTCTGGTACATAACTAAGGCTTTGGTTTTTTAAAGGTAAACGACTAAGACTATCTGCACTATTCTCAGATCCAGGTTTGTATTTCAATTCATAATTGTATGCGGCTAGTGTGATAGCCCACCTTTGAACCCTTGGTGATGCATGCTCAGGCAGGGGTTTGTTTTCCCCAAACAAACCCAGCAATGGCTTATGATCTGTAAAGATGGTGAACTCCCTACCAAACAGAAACTTGTGAAATTTCTTAATACCAAAAATGATGCCTAAGCCTTCCCTATCTAACTGAGAATAATTTTTCTCAGCCTGGTTCAAAGATCTACTGGCAAAAGAAATGGGTCTGTCACCATTTCCATCTATGTGGGATAAAACTGCTCCTACACCATCTGGTGAAGCATCACATGTTAAGATAAGTCTTTTCCCTGGGTCATAGTGAGTTAGCAAGGTGTCAGAAGACAAAGCTTCTTTTGCTGCATTAAAAGCAGCATCTTGTTGTTTACCCCAGTGCCAAGTTGCATTTTTCTGCAGCAGCTTGTACAGTGATGATAGTTTATCAGACAGATTCCCTATGAACTTCGCATAGTAATTTATCAAGCCCACAAAAGCTCTTAGCTGTTGGGTATTTTCAGGTTTGGGTGCTTCTTTAATGGCTTTTGTTTTCTCAGTTTGAGGTCTGAGACCCTGCCTGCTCAAACTATAACCCAGAAAACTAATATCTGTCAGCATGAATTGACATTTATCTTAGTTTATCTTTAAACCCTTTTCACCAACTATTTTCAAGACTTTATCAAGTGTTTTAAGATGTTCAGTGTCATTCTTACCCGTTATGTATACATTGTCAAAGTAAACACAAACATTTGGAATGTCCTGAAAAATACTGTCCATGACAGCCTGGAAAATTCCAGGGCTAGATGATATACCAAAACATAGTCTTTCATATTGGTAGAGTCCCTTATGTGTGTTTATTGTCGTATAGACTTTTGAATCTGGATGAAGTTCTAGTTGAGTGTAAGCATGACTAAAGTCTAATTCACTGAATTTGTCTCCTCCTGCTAAATTCAAAGAAATTTCCTCAATGTTAGGAATAGGGTACCTATTTAGCTCTATTTGCTTATTCAGTGTAGCTTTATAGTCCCCACAAATCCTTACAGAACCATCCTTCTTTAACACTGGCACAAATGGCGTTGCCCAATCGGAATAGTCTACCTTCTTTATGATGCCATCAGATTCCAATCTACTTAGCTCATTTTCAATTTTATCCCTCATTGCATAAGGTGGAACTCTAGCTTTGCAGTAACTTGGATTTGTGTCTTTAATGCGTATCTTCACTGTCCTATCATTTAGTAACCCTGAACTAACAAAAGACACCTTCATTTTCAGATACAACTTTATCTATTGAAGTAAAACTAGATTCTTTTGCTTTGTTCACTGAAAATATACTCCCCCAGTCTAACTTAAGATCAACTAGCCAGTTCCTACCTAGTAATGGTGGTCCGTTTCCTTCAACCACAAGAAGAGAAAGTTTAACACTTTGACCATTATAGCTTATATGAACTATACACTCTCCTATTACCGGAACATTGTCACCTGTGTATGTTGTTAGGCACTTGTGACATGGTTGTAGAGGCACTGATCCTCCTGTGACAGCGTCAAAGCCTTTCTTTGTGATGACGGTTAGATATGCTCCCGTGTCAAGTTGGAAGATGATGCTCTTACCGTTGTTACAAACTAGTACATTGATGGGAGCATGACTAGTTGATTTCACAGAGAACAGGTTGAACTCGGGCTGCGGTTCAGTTTGAGCATTTTCACTGGTAGAGTGGTTCATTGGTTGGTTTAGGCTGTCTTGGTGACAGTTAACATAGTGCTGCCTTTGGTTGCGGTACTGTCCTGACTGGCTAGATCTAGCAACAGACGAAGACTTTCCAAAGCAGGCCTTGGCAATGTGACCTTCCCTACTGCACTTATAGCAAGTTGCTGACTTGAACTTGCATTGATGAGATGCATGGGGACCGTTGCATCGATGACATTTTTGATAATTATTACTAGATTTAGATCTAGGATTTGAACTTGCAGGCTGTTTAGCATAAGTTGAACTGCTCTGATGGGGTTGGTGTTTGTTGACTGACCTGCTGTCTACTGCATGGATCCCTGAAGGCGCCAGAGATCTGGCCGCATCGGATGACTGCTGGAATGAAGTTGAAAGTTGTATTGCTTTTTCCACTGTTAGATCTGACTCGAGAAGCAACTTTCTTTGAACATCAGGGCTTTTTACACCTGTCACAAACTTTTCACATAGTCTGTCACCGAATTCACAGAATTCACTTAGATGACGTAAAGCAGCAACATATTCTGATATTGATTCGTTTGGTTGACGAGTCCTACCGTCAAATCTGGCTCTACACAGGAACTTTGGTGGTGCAGGCGCATGATGGCCTGTTAGGAGTTTGCTCAGCTCGTTAAAGCTTTTGGTAGCTGGACTAGCTGGTGCGCATAAGTCCTTTAATAGCCTAAATTGTTGAGGCCCTATGACTGTTAACAAAACAGCTCTCTTTTTGGCTTCTATCGTCACGTCGTTAGCTTCAAGGTAAAAGCTTAACCTATCTAGATAATCATAAATAGTTTCTTCATTCGAATTAAATTCTTTTATCTGGTCATATAGCGCCATTATCCTACAAATACTTAGCAAATATGCTCTAGCAAGCTTCTTCTTAAGTAAGCATGTGCTCTTTTTAGTGGATGATTAATCCTCGTCGCCAATGAAGTGGATTGAGATCTTATAATTCTAGACAGATAATACAACAGACGAGGAAGCCATTTTATGTACGCCTTGTTTATTCTGTATCGGAAACGGAAACATAACATGCAAGGGACATGACTCAACATTATAAGACTAATACAAGAAGAATGAGTTCCCCCCAACATAAAGCTTAATATATTACATTATGAGTTTTGAAAATAAAATAATATAACTATCAAAATTTGTGCAAGGAGCTGGAGAGCCGCATCTTGACATCAAAAGAGCCACATGCGTCTCACAAGCTGCAGGTTGCCGACCCCTGGGTTAGGTATCTATCTAATGTATAAAGCTCAAACAGGTTCTGTGGCTCTGTATGTATGTGGTGGACAGGACTCTTAGTAGAAAAGAATATTGTAAAAATCTCAACTTGATCGCCATAGTGTAATATTCTTAAATTGTTTTTCATCTAAATTAGTGATTTAAAAAAATTAATATTGATGGTTTTGTAAAAGGTTTAATTTTCCAAACTTATCATTTTATTTAATACTAGAATACCCGTCATCCGTTGGATAACTGTGGGTTTTGGGGGTCATCCATCAAAAAACATCACGTCTGTCACTCAGAGGCATAGCGACCCTTCCCGGCGCCCGGGGACAAACTTTTCGATTTGAACCCCCCCCCCCCCCGCGAGATTTCGATTTGCAACCCCCCCCCCCCTCAAACTTTTGATGTGCACCCCCCCACTCAAACTTTCGATTTGAACCCCCCTCAACCTTTCAATTTATTTTTCCAAACCATTTTGGCGCCCAACATATGTCCCCCCCCCCTTCCCCCCTCCACCCGCCTCCCCTTCCCCCCCCCGCCTCCCCGCCTCCCCTCCCGCCACCCCCTCCTCGCTACGCTACTGCAGTGTCACTTATCGTCACAAAAAACAGACCCCACATTCAAAAATATGTTTTTTATCTTTTAAAAACACCAAAAACACCGATTTCGGACTATCCCTTCATATACTGACGTCACATGTGACCTACTCAACTCTACTTCACCTGCCCAGTGTCCCGCCAAGTCTCAGACAACATGTTTTTATCGTTTAAAAAACGATTCCAGCCGAGCATGTCTCTGACCACACTATCCTTTCATATGCTTAGGACAAAGAAACAGATGAACTCTACTTCACCTGCCCTGTATCCTGCCAAGTTCAGATAGGCAACTTTATCATTCACATCTAAAAAAAAAATTGAAAAAAAAATATCATTGACATATTGGTCTAGAACCTTTGCCACCCGCATGGGAGCCGCCTACACTACCAACTTAGCTATTTACTCGTGACGTCACAAATGAATTTTTATACTATACTTTGAGTCTCCTTATGCAACTTGATTTACGCGCATAGATCTAGATCTAAGTCTAGTAGTAGTAACTTTCAAATTAAATTTTATCTTAAATTAGCCAAACAAAGATTTATATAAAATAATTAAGGATTGAAATAGATTCTAGATGTATTAAGGCCTGAAATAGATTCTAGATGTAGAATTTACATTAAGTCTAGATCTAGAATTTACATTGAGTCTAGTGACCTAGATCTAGGCTAGATCTAGATCTAGGCTAGATTCATAACTTTCCTTCGACAGCTGATCTTTAGATCTAGAGAAATTTATTGTAAAACTAAATGAAAAAAGACAGTTGAAAATTGATATAAGTGTTGGAACGTAATAAATACAGCAAACGGACGTATTGTTAAAGTTATGACCGACAGAAAATTAGATTTAGAACGCGTTAAACTTTTGAATGGGAACACAATTTTCTTCGATAGACGCCGCCATTTTATTGTACTAAAGAGTAAACAAAAAACTGTGACGTCACGGTCCCGCCGAGTGTAGTGGTCGTTCTAAACTTTTTAAAAAAAATAGGGTTACTCTACGTATGAATAAATCAATAAATTAATTAACGTCTTTAAATAAATGTGTGATTAACAGTCTGTCTTAAAACAAAATTTTTTCTCTACCTACATACTATTTTACAGCTCTCCACGATGAGTGCAACGATGCGCAATAGTCAATCAGCCAAACAAAAAAACAAATAAATATTCAAACATGTAAACAAACTTGACTTTTAGTAGTATATAGAAGATAATGTGGAATGAACAAAATCAAGAAAATGTATCACTCTCTACAATATTTAAAAAACTAACTTCCCTTTGTTCATTTTGTACCAATTACTTTCTTTGATAGATCACAAAAAAACAATTACTTCCCTTTAAAAAATAAATTACATTGGAAAAACAATACAGTATGATAGATGAAAGATAAAAAGTGTTACTATAGTCTTTCACTAAATCAAATCCAGGGCGTCCTCTGGCGCCCCAACAGGGTTCTATTCAGCGACTCGGACCTTACAGTGAGCACTATGGCACCTACATTTGGTTTAGTGAGTTCAATAGAATATGGATAAGATGGGGTATTATAGTCATTTACTAAGTTTAATTAGGCGTTTCCGCCTGCACCCGGGCAGGGTGCAATTTGGCACCCCACGCTATACTGTGACACTGTGTTTAAGTTTGCATTTGTTTGTGTTTATGTTCTGCAGTTTTTGTTTGCAATTAGGTTTGCATTTGTTTTTGCAATGTGTTTGTGTTTATGTTTGCATTCCTGTAAGCATTTGTGTTGCTTTTGTAATTGCATAAGTGTTTGCATTTTTGTTTGTGTTTACCTTTGTGTTTGTGTTTGGTTTTGTGTTTCTGTTTTGTGTTTGGGTTTGTGTTCATATTTTTGTTTTTGTTTTGGTTTGGGTTTGTGCTTGCATTTGTGTTTTGGTTTGTGTTTGCATTTACATTTACATTTGCGTTTGTTTTTGTGTTTTGGTTTTTATTGGTTATGGTTTGGGTTTATTCGAAGAGTAATATATTTACAATTGCGTTTGTTTTTGTGTTTTGTTTTTGGCTGGTTATGGTTAGGATTTATTCGAAGAGTAATATATTTACATTTGCTTTTGTTTTTTGTTTTTGGTTGGTTATGGTTAGGGTTTATTCGAAGAGTAATATATTTCCTAAACCCAGGCAATGCTGGGTATATGCTGCTTTATAAACATACAAGTCATGGTCCTTTGCTGATAGGTTTTTCACAGAGGTCAGTGCAGGGCCTGGCCGGGACAGCTAGTTACATATAAATTGAAGAGAAACATACGTTATATGCATGCTACAAATTGTTTTCTAACTATTTCAGGCCATACATTTTTGCCCAACAATGAAACATTTCTGCCTAGGACCTCCATCTTTCCTTCCGTGCTTGTGTTCCCAGCCGTCAATACAGGGGAGTCTAGCTACAGGAGCATAGTTGTACAAAATACAGGGGACACGCCCATTCTTTTTGATTTACACAAGACTTTAGACATGCAGCCATTGACAAAGACAAGATGTGCTTCAAAGGAACACAGAGAGTATGTCATTTACTTTTATTTGAAAGTTTGACTTGTAGAATTCTAGACCTACCAGGAGCAAACTGCCCATTTATCCTAGCAAGCTGCCCATTTATCCTAGCAAGCTGCCCATTTATCCTAGCAAACTGCCCATTAGCAAACTGCCCATTTATCCTAGCAAACTGCCCATTTATCCTAGCAAACTGCCCATTTATCCTAGCAAACTGCCCATTTATCCTAGCAAACTGCCCATTTATCCTAGCAAACTGCCCATTTATCCTAGCAAGCTGCCCATTTATCCTAGCAAACTGCCCATTTATCCTAGCAAACTGCCCATTTATCCTAGCAAGCTGCCCATTTATCCTAGCAAACTGCCCATTAGCAAACTGCCCATTTATCCTAGCAAACTGCCCATTTATCCTAGCAAACTGCCCATTTATCCTAGCAAACTGCCCATTTATCCTAGCAAACTGCCCATTTATCCTAGCAAACTGCCCATTTATCCTAGCAAGCTGCCCATTTATCCTAGCAAACTGCCCATTTATCCTAGCAAACTGCCCATTTATCCTAGCAAACTGCCCATTTATCCTAGCAAACTGCCCATTTATCCTAGCAAACTGCCCATTTATCCTAGCAAACTGCCCATTTATCCTAGCAAGCTGCCCATTTATCCTAGCAAACTGCCCATTTATCCTAGCAAACTGCCCATTTATCCTAGCAAGCTGCCCATTTATCCTAGCAAACTGCCCATTAGCAAACTGCCCATTTATCCTAGCAAACTGCCCATTTATCCTAGCAAACTGCCCATTTATCCTAGCAAACTGCCCATTTATCCTAGCAAACTGCCCATAACATTGATTTACTGTAAGCAAAGTTGATACAAAGAGCTAAATAAAGTGTTCAACACTTTGAGCTAAATAAAGTGTTCAACACTTTGAGCTAAATAAAGTGTTCAACACTTTGGGTTGTAAATATTAAGTCACCCTTTATGCTTATGTTGTTAATATTGATTCAGCTCATTTGTTTGACATAGACATGTGTTTGGTGTGAAACCAAAAAGAGGAATTCTGAAGGCAGGTTATCAAATTGTCACAGTCAGGATGAACCCAGCTGTTGTTGATTCATTTTCACATCAACTCCTCATTCAGCTCAATGAGAATGAAAAATATAATCAGGTAGGGCAACTTCAAACACTGAACATTATGTTGATTTACGTGGATGTTTTATTGTAGGTTGTACAGTTATGCGGATGTTATATTGTAGGTTGTACAGTTATGCAGATGTTATATTGTAGGTTGTACAGTTATGCGGATCTGCTGAATCTGCTCAAGTTCTGCTGGACAATGAAGGCACCATGTACTTTAGACCCACCTGCGTTGGCACCTGCACCAGCAAGTCCTATGGTTTCAAGAATCTGACCAGGATTCCACTCAGGTAGGACATGTGAGAGGTGGGGGGGAGGGGTGTTTAGGGTACCAGCAGGACATTGACAAAAGCAGGACAAAAGCACTCTCCAACTCCAACTGCCAGTAATTTCAAACAACCTTTAACTGCCATGATGATTTTTTTCCTTTCTAGCAAATATTTGGCTCATCTCATTTATAGGATGGGTAGAACTTGGTTCGATAACACAAAATATTTGGTTCAGTCATATGAGACAAAGATTCAGTCAGATCTATTTTAAGATTCCAGTGGGTTATTACTCAAAATGACAAGAATATCCTGAACTTAATTGTAAAAAAAATCTATTTTAAGTTTCCAGTGGGTTATTACTCAAAATGACAAGAATATCCTGAACTTAATTGTAAAAAAAATCTATTTTAAGATTCCAGTGGGTTATTACTCAAAATAACAAGAAGATTCTGAGCTTAATTGTAAAAAAAAATCTATTTTAAGATTCCAGTGGGTTATTACTCAAATGACAAGAATATCCTGAGCTTAATTGTAAAAAAAATCTATTTTAAGATTCCAGTGGGTTATTACTCAAAATAACAAGAAGATTCTGAGCTTAATTGTAAAAAAAAATCTATTTTAAGATTCCAGTGGGTTATTACTCAAAATGACAAGAATATCCTGAACTTAATTGTAAAAAAAATCTATTTTAAGTTTCCAGTGGGTTATTACTCAAAATGACAAGAATATCCTGAACTTAATTGTAAAAAAAATCTATTTTAAGATTCCAGTGGGTTATTACTCAAAATAACAAGAAGATTCTGAGCTTAATTGTAAAAAAAAATCTATTTTAAGATTCCAGTGGGTTATTACTCAAATGACAAGAATATCCTGAGCTTAATTGTAAAAAAAATCTATTTTAAGATTCCAGTGGGTTATTACTCAAATGACAAGAATATCCTGAGCTTAATTGTAAAAAAAAATCTATTTTAAGATTCCAGTGGGTTATTACTCAAAATGACAAGAAGATTCTGAGTGTGGAGCCAAACCAAGGAATTGTTCAACCAAATGAGTGGATGGTATGGCAAAACTCAACATTCTTACCTCATCTTCAACAACAAGTCAAGACCATGCTTATTAACCACCTACCTTCACCACCACCACCCCCCCCCCCCCCCCCATCAACTGCACTACCACTACCACCACCACCACCATCACAATTACCACCACCACCACCACCACCACCGTCAACTCCACTACCACCACCACCACCATCACCACCACCACCATCACCACCACCATCTTCACCACCATCAACACCACCATCAACACAATTACCACCATCAACACCACTACCACCAACACCACCACCACCATCATCACCACCACTATCACCACCACCACCATTACCACCATCACCACCATCACCACCATTACCACTACCATCACCACCACCATCATCACCACCACCATCACCACCACCACCATCACCACCATTACCACCATCACCACCACCATCACCACCATTACCACCATCACCACCACCATTACCACCATCACCACCACCACCACCACCATCACCACCACCACCACCATTACCACCACCACCACCATCACCACCACCACCACCATTACCACCACCACCACCACCATCACCACCACTACCACCACCTCCACCATCACCATCACCACCACTACCACCACCTCCACCATCACCACCTTCACCACTATCACCACCACCATCATCACCACCACCACCAACAAAATCATCACCACCACAACCACAACCTGAACCTTTCATTAATTAACTTCTTAATCTATGTAGTGCGAATTTCATCCATACTGCATACTTATAATATCATCATTATAATATCATTACAACATAATAATATTCTAATTACATCATTATAATTTATAAAATCCTAATTACATACTTAAAACATCCAGATGACATCCTAATAAGATTCTAACTTGCAGACCCAGATTTGGTCATTTAAGCCAAGTGAGGAAAAAAAATATGTCTTGAAACCAACTTTAGTTGCCTGGGGTCAGGGCTCAAGTGGTACATCTTCGGGTGGGAAAAAAAATCAGTTTTTTCTCCGTGCTGTTGGGGAAGGCTCCATAGGTAACATACAGGTAAGGCGCCATAGGTAACATACAGGTAAGGCTCTATAGGTAACATACAGGTAAGGCTCCATAGGTAACATACAGGTAAGGCTCTATAGGTAACATACAGGTAAGGCGCCATAGGTAACATACAGGTAAGGCTCTATAGGTAACATACAGGTAAGGCGCCATAGGTAACATACAGGTAAGGCTCTATAGGTAACATACAGGTAAGGCGCCATAGGTAACATACAGGTAAGGCTCTATAGGTAACATACAGGTAAGGCGCCATAGGTAACATACTGGTAAGGCTCCATAGGTAACATACAGGTAAGGCACCATAGGTAACATACAGGTAAGTTTGTGCCATAATGGTATCTCACATTATAATGTAGGGGTCATCCATTTATGACGTCCACAAACATTTCGGATTATAGACCCCCCTCCCCTGTCCACAAGCATCCACTTTTGATAAACGGCCTTTCACCCCCTCCCCCCTTGATGAGGACGTCCACATAAAATAATTTTTTTTAAACCTTTCTACTACTTTTCTATTTCAAAAACATGGCTTTAATACATTTGATTATGTTTATTATTAGGCCTAAATATTAAAAGTAGAATCTAGAGTATGAGTATGTTTTAAACATCAAAAATACATTATATTTTTCAAGGATTTTCCACATTACCAACCAAAACTCATGCAAATTATTAAACAATTTTCGTATGTGTGTGTGGGGGGGGGGGGGAGAGGGGTGGATGTTAAAAGAGTTATTCTTTGTACTCATTGGATGTAATAATTAATATTAACATTTATATTAACATTTATATTAACATTTATAAGATTTCTTTCAATCTTTACAGAGACATTCTGTTTTGATTGCAATACAAGTCTATCTATTTTTTAATTTGATTAGATGTTTAATTGGTCATTAAAAATTAATTAAATGATTTTGAAACTAAGGGAAGATAACAAAATTAAATCCCTCTATAGATTACTATATTAAATAACAGAATGGGAGATAACTAGCTAGATGCTGTCAACTGAGCTATTAACCGACCAGTTTGGTGAGCTGTGGTTCACGTTGAATGTTTACAATCATGGTGAGAGTTGATCTAGTGAAGGCTATTAGGGGCAGATAAGTTTTTAAAAGATATGAAACTAAATGAGATCTACTTTTTCCGCCCCCCCCCCCCCCCTTCCGTGTGGATGTCATAAATGGATGACCCCGTATTGTCACAAGGTAGCACGGAATACTGTCAAACACCAGAATGTCATACTAGACTGTCACACTGTCCCACCAAACTGTCACACAGAACTGTCACACTAAACTCACACTGTCACACTAAAACTGTCACACCAAACTGTCACCCCAAACTGTCACACCGAACTGTCACACTAAACTGTCACACCAAACTGTCACACCAAACTGTCACACTAAAACTGTCACACCAAACTGTCACACTAAACTCTCACACCAAACTGTCACACCAAACTGTCACACCAAACTGTCACACAAAGCTGTCACACCAAACTGTCACACCAAACTGTCACACCAAACTGTCACACCAAACTGTCACACCAAACTGTCACACTAAACTCTCACACCAAACTGTCACACCAAACTGTCACACTAAACTGTCACACTAAACTGTCACACCAAACTGTCACACTAAACTGTCACACTAAACTGTCATACCAAACTGTCACACCAAACTGTCACACTAAACGGTCACACAAAACTGTCACACCAAACAGTCACACCAAACTCTAACACCAAACTGTCACACCAAACTGTCACACAAAACTGTCACACCAAACTGTCACACAAAACTGTCACACCAAACTGTCACACTGTCACACCAAACAGTCACACCAAACAGTCACACCAAACTATCACACCAAACTGTCACACCAAACTGTCACACCAAACTGTCACACCAAACTGTCACACCAAACTGTCACACTAAACTCACACTGTCACACTAGACTGTCACACCAAACTGTCACACCAAACTGTCACACAAAGCTGTCACACCAAACTGTCACACCAAACTGTCACACAAAACTGTCACACCAAACTGTCACACCAAACTGTCACACTAAACTCTCACACCAAACTGTCACACCAAACTGTCACACTAAACTGTCACACTAAACTGTCACACCAAACTGTCACACTAAACTGTCACACTAAACTGTCACACCAAACTGTCACACCAAACTGTCACACTAAACGGTCACACAAAACTGTCACACCAAACAGTCACACCAAACTCTAACACCAAACTGTCACACCAAACTGTCACACAAAACTGTCACACCAAACTGTCACACAAAACTGTCACACAAAACTGTCACACTGTCACACCAAACAGTCACACCAAACAGTCACACCAAACTATCACACCAAACTGTCACACCAAACTGTCACACCAAACTGTCACACCAAACTGTCACACCAAACTGTCACACTAAAGTCACACTGTCACACTAGACTGTCACACCAAACTGTCACACCAAACTGTCACACCAAACTGTCACACCAAACTGTCACACAAAACTGTCACACCAAACTGTCACACCAAACCGTCACACCAAACTGTCACACCAAACAGTCACACCAAACTCTAACACCAAACTGTCACACTAAACTGTCACACTAGACTGTCACACCAAACTGTCACACCAAACAGTCACACCAAACTGTCACACCAAACTGTCACACAAAACTGTCACACCAAACTGTCACACAAAACTGTCACACCAAACTGTCACACTGTCACACCAAACAGTCACACCAAACAGTCACACCAAACTATCACACCAAACTGTCACACTAAACTCTCACACCAAACTGTCACACCAAACTGTCACACTAAACTGTCACACTAAACTGTCACACCAAACTGTCACACTAAACTGTCACACTAAACTGTCACACCAAACTGTCACACCAAACTGTCACACTAAACGGTCACACAAAACTGTCACACCAAACAGTCACACCAAACTCTAACACCAAACTGTCACACCAAACTGTCACACAAAACTGTCACACTAAACTGTCACACAAAACTGTCACACAAAACTGTCACACTGTCACACCAAACTGTCACACCAAACTGTCACACCAAACTGTCACACCAAACTGTCACACCAAACTGTCACACTAAAGTCACACTGTCACACTAGACTGTCACACCAAACTGTCACACCAAACTGTCACACCAAACTGTCACACCAAACTGTCACACAAAACTGTCACACCAAACTGTCACACCAAACTGTCACACCAAACAGTCACACCAAACTCTAACACCAAACTGTCACACCAAACTGTCACACTAGACTGTCACACTAAACTGTCACACCAAACTGTCACACCAAACTGTCACACCAAACTGTCACACCAAACTGTCACACCAAACTGTCACACCAAACTGTCACATGTTCTCTTGTTACTAGACTGATGGTGCCTACCTTGACTTTGGTGATATTGTTGTGGGGAGCTCAGCCACCCGTCATTTCACAATCTTCAACAACGGCAGCTGTAGCTTACAGTACAAGCTGCTGATAGATGGCACAGAGGAAGGGGAGGAGATCAAAACTGAAAGATCAAGTAGGCCATCATCTAACCTTAACCCTAACCCTAACCAAGTAGGCCATCATCTAACCTTAACCCTAACCCTAACCAAGTAGGCCATCATCTAACCTTAACCCTAACCAAGTAGGCCACCATCTAACCTTAACCCTAACCCTAACCAAGTAGGCCATCATCTAACCCTAACCCTAAACCTAACCAAGTAGGCCACCATCTAACCTTAACCCTAACCCTAACCAAGTAGGCCACCATCTAACCTTAACCCTAACCCTAACCAAGTAGGCCATCATCTAACCTTAACCCTAACCCTAACCAATTAGGCCATCATCTAACCTTAACCCTAACCCTAACCAAGTAGGCCATCATCTAACCTTAACCAGGCCAACATATAACCTTAACCAGGCCATCATCTAACCTTAACCAGGCCATCATCTAACCTTAACCTAATGAAAGATCAAGTAGGCCATCATCTAACCTTAACCAGGCCATCATCTAACCTTAACCTAATGAAAGATCAAGTAGGCCATCATCTAACCTTAACCAGGCCATCATCTAACCTTAACCAGGCCATCATCTAACCTTAACCAGGCCATCATCTAACCTTAACCAGGCCAACATCTAACCTTAACCAGGCCATCATCTAACCTTAACCAGGCCATCATCTAACCTTAACCAGGCCATCATCTAACCTTAACCAGGCCATCATCTAACCTTAACCTAATGAAAGATCAAGTAGGCCATCATCTAACCTTAACCAGGCCATCATCTAACCTTAACCAGGCCATCATCTAACCTTAACCTAATGAAAGATCAAGTAGGCTGTCATCTAACCTTAACCAGGCCATCATCTAACCTTAACCCTAACCCTAACCAAGTAGGCCACCATATAACCTTAACCCTAACCCTAACCAAGTAGGCCATCATCTAACCTTAACCAGGCCATCATCTAACCTTAACCTAATGAAAGATCAAGTAGGCCAACATATAACCTTAACCAGGCCAACATCTAACCTTAACCAGGCCATCATCTAACCTTAACCAGGCCATCATCTAACCTTAACCAGGCCATCATCTAACCTTAACCTAATGAAAGATCAAGTAGGCCATCATCTAACCTTAACCAGGCCATCATCTAACCTTAACCAGGCCATCATCTAACCTTAACCTAATGAAAGATCAAGTAGGCCATCATCTAACCTTAACCAGGCCATCATCTAACCTTAACCAGGCCATCATCTAACCTTAACCAGGCCATCATCTAACCTTAACCTAATGAAAGATCAAGTAGGCCATCATCTAACCTTAACCAGGCCATCATCTAACCTTAACCAGGCCATCATCTAACCTTAACCAGGCCATCATCTAACCTTAACCTAATGAAAGATCAAGTAGGCCGTCATCTAACCTTAACCAGGCCATCATCTAACCTTAACCCTAACCCTAACCAAGTAGGCCACCATATAACCTTAACCCTAACCCTAACCAAGTAGGCCATCATCTAACCTTAACCAGGCCATCATCTAACCTTAACCAGGCCAACATATAACCTTAACCAGGCCATCATCTAATCTTAACCTAATGAAAGATCAAGTAGGCCATCATCTAACCTTAACCAGGCCATCATCTAACCTTAACCAGGCCATCATCTAACCTTAACCTAATGAAAGAAAAAGTAGGCCATCATCTAACCTTAACCAGGCCAACATCTAACCTTAACCAGGCCATCATCTAACCTTAACCAGGCCATCATCTAACCTTAACCAGGCCAACATATAACCTTAACCAGGCCATCATCTAACCTTAACCAGGCCATCATCTAACCTTAACCTAATGAAAGATCAAGTAGGCCATCATCTAACCTTAACCAGGCCATCATCTAACCTTAACCTAATGAAAGATCAAGTAGGCCATCATCTAACCTTAACCAGGCCATCATCTAACCTTAACCAGGCCATCATCTAACCTTAACCAGGCCATCATCTAACCTTAACCAGGCCAACATCTAACCTTAACCAGGCCATCATCTAACCTTAACCAGGCCATCATCTAACCTTAACCAGGCCATCATCTAACCTTAACCAGGCCATCATCTAACCTTAACCTAATGAAAGATCAAGTAGGCCATCATCTAACCTTAACCAGGCCATCATCTAACCTTAACCAGGCCATCATCTAACCTTAACCAGGCCATCATCTAACCTTAACCTAATGAAAGATCAAGTAGGCCGTCATCTAACCTTAACCAGGCCATCATCTAACCTTAACCCTAACCCTAACCAGGCCATCATCTAACCTTAACCCTAACCCTAACCAAGTAGGCCACCATATAACCTTAACCCTAACCCTAACCAAGTAGGCCATCATCTAACCTTAACCAGGCCATCATCTAACCTTAACCAGGCCAACATATAACCTTAACCAGGCCATCATCTAATCTTAACCTAATGAAAGATCAAGTAGGCCATCATCTAACCTTAACCAGGCCATCATCTAACCTTAACCAGGCCATCATCTAACCTTAACCTAATGAAAGATCAAGTAGGCCATCATCTAACCTTAACCAGGCCAACATCTAACCTTAACCAGGCCATCATCTAACCTTAACCAGGCCATCATCTAACCTTAACCAGGCCATCATCTAACCTTAACCAGGCCATCATCTAACCTTAACCTAATGAAAGATCAAGTAGGCCATCATCTAACCTTAACCAGGCCATCATCTAACCTTAACCTAATGAAAGATCAAGTAGGCCGTCATCTAACCTTAACCAGGCCATCATCTAACCTTAACCCTAACCCTAACCAAGTAGGCCACCATATAACCTTAACCCTAACCCTAACCAAGTAGGCCATCATCTAACCTTAACCAGGCCATCATTTAACCTTAACCTAATGAAAGATCAAGTAGGCCAACATATAACCTTAACCAGGCCAACATCTAACCTTAACCAGGCCATCATCTAACCTTAACCAGGCCATCATCTAACCTTAACCAGGCCATCATCTAACCTTAACCTAATGAAAGATCAAGTAGGCCATCATCTAACCTTAACCAGGCCATCATCTAACCTTAACCAGGCCATCATCTAACCTTAACCAGGCCATCATCTAACCTTAACCTAATGAAAGATCAAGTAGGCCATCATCTAACCTTAACCAGGCCATCATCTAACCTTAACCAGGCCAACATATAACCTTAACCAGGCCATCATCTAATCTTAACCTAATGAAAGATCAAGTAGGCCATCATCTAACCTTAACCAGGCCATCATCTAACCTTAACCAGGCCATCATCTAACCTTAACCTAATGAAAGATCAAGTAGGCCATCATCTAACCTTAACCAGGCCAACATATAACCTTAACCAGGCCATCATCTAACCTTAACCAGGCCAACATATAACCTTAACCAGGCCATCATCTAACCTTAACCAGGCCATCATCTAACCTTAACCTAATGAAAGATCAAGTAGGCCATCATCTAACCTTAACCAGGCAAACATATAACCTTAACCTAATGAAAGATCAAGTAGGCCATCATCTAACCTTAACCAGGCCATCATCTAACCTTAACCAGGCCATCATCTAACCTTAACCTAATGAAAGATCAAGTAGGCCATCATCTAACCTTAACCAGGCCATCATCTAACCTTAACCAGGCCATCATCTAACCTTAACCTAATGAAAGATCAAGTAGGCCATCATCTAACCTTAACCAGGCCAACATATAACCTTAACCAGGCCATCATCTAACCTTAACCTAATGAAAGATCAAGTAGGCCATCATCTAACATTAACCAGGCCATCATCTAACCTTAACCAGGCCATCATCTAACCTTAACCAGGCCAACATCTAACCTTAACCAGGCCATCATCTAACCTTAACCTAATGAAAGATCAAGTAGGCCATCATCTAACCTTAACCAGGCCATCATCTAACCTTAACCAGGCCATCATCTAACCTTAGCCAGGCCAACATCTAACCTTAACCAGGCCATCATCTAACCTTAACCAGGCCATCATCTAACCTTAACCAGGCCATCATCTAACCTTAACCAGGCCAACATCTAACCTTAACCAGGCCATCATCTAACCTTAACCTAATGAAAGATCAAGTAGGCCATCATCTAACCTTAACCAGGCCATCATCTAACCTTAACCAGGCCATCATCTAACCTTAACCTAATGAAAGATCAAGTAGGCCATCATCTAACCTTAACCAGGCCAACATATAACCTTAACCAGGCCATCATCTAACCTTAACCTAATGAAAGATCAAGTAGGCCATCATCTAACATTAACCAGGCCATCATCTAACCTTAACCAGGCCATCATCTAACCTTAACCAGGCCAACATCTAACCTTAACCAGGCCATCATCTAACCTTAACCTAATGAAAGATCAAGTAGGCCATCATCTAACCTTAACCAGGCCATCATCTAACCTTAACCAGGCCATCATCTAACCTTAGCCAGGCCAACATCTAACCTTAACCAGGCTATCATCTAACCTTAACCTAATCATTTTGTATGCAGGTCTTGAAATATATCCTTTTGTACGCAGGTATTGAAATATATCATTTTGTACACAGGTATTGAAATTGACAAGCGTGAAGGTTTCTTGCCTGCCAGAAGTAAACACTTTATTACAGCCACAATCAGACCCTGTCGTCGCGTCACTTACCAGTTCGCCATCAGATACCAATTAGTGGTCCCTCAAAGTAAGTCAGACAAATAGGTTAGTCAATTAGTGGTCCCTCAAAGTAAGTCAGACAAATAGGTTAGTCAATTAGTGGTCCCTCAAAGTAAGTCAGACAAATAGGTTAGTCAATTTGTGGTCCTCAAAGTAAGTCAGAAAAATAGGTTAGTCAATTAGTGGTCCCTCAAAGTAAGTCAGACAAATAGGTTAGTCAATTAGTGGTCCCTCAAAGTAAGTCAGACAAATAGGTTAGTCAATTAGTGGTCCCTCAAAGTAAGTCAGACAAATAGGTTAGTCAATTTGTGGTCCCTCAAAGTAAGTCAGAAAAATAGGTTAGTCAATTAGTGGTCCCTCAAAGTAAGTCAGACAAATAGGTTAGTCAATTAGTGGTCCCTCAAAGTAAGTCAGACAAATAGGTTAGTCAATTTGTGGTCCCTCAAAGTAAGTCAGAAAAATAGGTTAGTCAATTTGTGGTCCCTCAAAGTAAGTCAGACAAATAGGTTAGTCAATTAGTGGTCCCTCAAAGTAAGTCAGACAAATAGGTTAGTCAATTTGTGGTCCTCAAAGTAAGTCAGAAAAATAGGTTAGTCAATTTGTGGTCCCTCAAAGTAAGTCAGACAAATAGGTTAGTCAATTAGTGGTCCCTCAAAGTAAGTCAGACAAATAGGTTAGTCAATTAGTGGTCCCTCAAAGTAAGTCAGACAAATAGGTTAGTCAATTAGTGGTCCCTCAAAGTAAGTCAGACAAATAGGTTAGTCAATTAGTGGTCCCTCAAAGTAAGTCAGAAAAATAGGTTAGTCAATTAGTGGTCCCTCAAAGTAAGTCAGACAAATAGGTTAGTCACTCTTTTGCCATTTGTCCATCTGTTGTACCAAACAGTTGGTCTACCTATTGTTACCTCTACGGGTAAGTTGATATATTCCCCCAATGTTACCTCTACAGGTAAGTTGATATATTCCCCCAATGTTACCTCTACAGGTGAGTTGATATATTCCCCCAATGTTACCTCTACAGGTAAGTTGATATATTCCCCCAATGTTACCTCTACAGGTAAGTTGATATATTCCCCCAATGTTACCTCTACAGGTAAGTTGATATATTCCCCCAATGTTACCTCTACAGGTAAGTTGATATATTCCCCCAATGTTACCTCTACAGGTAAGTTGATATATTCCCCCAATGTTACCTCTACAGGTAAGTTGATATATTCACCCAATGTTACCTCTACAGGTAAGTTGATATATTCCCCAATGTTACCTCTACAGGTAAGTTGATATATCCCCCAATGTTACCTCTACAGGTAAGTTGATATATTCCCCAATGTTACCTCTACAGGTAAGTTGATATATCCCCTAATGTTACCTCTACAGGTAAGTTGATATATTCCCCCAATGTTACCTCTACAGGTAAGTTGATATATTCCCCAATGTTACCTCTACAGGTAAGTTGATATATCCCCTAATGTTACCTCTACAGGTGAGTTGATATATTCCCCCAATGTTACCTCTACAGGTAAGTTGATATATTCCCTAATGTTACCTCTACAGGTAAGTTGATATATCCCCTAATGTTACCTCTACAGGTGAGTTGATTCCATCATCTGTATATGAGCCCCAGCACTTGATGTATATCCTGGCTTCTGGAGTCTACCCAATGTTGACCATCACAGACATCCGGCCACAGGGCAGTGCCATCAACCTCAGCAAAAAATCTTTATGGACACTTTTTTCACTTGACAAGTTTGTACCCATTTATCAAGCTTATATCATGTATATGACAAGTTTGTGCCTATTTATCAAAATATATGAGAAGTTTCTATAAAGTTGGTAGGATAACGGTGACAGGTTGGTAGGATAAAGGTGACAGGTTGGTAGGATAAAGGTGGCAGGTTGGTAGGATAAAGGTGACATGTTGGTAGGATAAAGGTGACAGGTTGGTAGGATAAAGGTGACAGGTTGGTAGGATAAAGTTGACATGTTGGTAGGATAAAGGTGACAGGTTGGTAGGATAAAGGTGACATGTTGGTAGGATAAAGGTGACAGGTTGGTAGGATAAAGGTGACAGGTTGGTAGGATAAAGTTGACATGTTGGTAGGATAAAGGTGACATGTTGGTAGGATAAAGGTGACAGGTTGGTAGGATAAAGGTGACAGGTTGGTAGGATAAAGTTGACATGTTGGTAGGGTAAAGTTGACAGGTTGGTAGGATAAAGGTGACAGGTTGGTAGGATAAAGGTGACAGGCTGGTAGGATAAAGGTGACATGTTGGTAGGATAAAGGTGACAGGTTGGTAGGATAAAGGTGACAGGTTGGTAGGATAAAGGTGACAGGTTGGTAGGATAAATGTGACAGGTTGGTAGGATAAAGGTGACAGGTTGGTAGGATAAAGGTGACAGGCTGGTAGGATAAAGGTGACAGGTTGGTAGGATAAAGGTGACAGGTTGGTAGGATAAAGGTGACATGTTGGTAGAATAAAGGTGACAGGTTGGTAGGAAAAAGGTGACAGATTGGTAGGATAACGGTGACAGGTTGGTAGGATAAAGGTGACAGGTTGGTAGGATAAAGGTGACAGGCTGGTAGGATAAAGGTGACAGGTTGGTAGGATAAAGGTGACAGGTTGGTAGGATAAAGGTGACATGTTGGTAGAATAAAGGTGACAGGTTGGTAGGAAAAAGGTGACAGATTGGTAGGATAACGGTGACAGGTTGGTAGGATAAAGGTGACAGGTTGGTAGGATAAAGGTGACAGGCTGGTAGGATAAAGGTGACAGGTTGGTAGGATAAAGGTGACAGGTTGGTAGGCTAAAAGTGACATGTTGGTAGGATAAAGGTGACAGGTTGGTAGGATAAAGGTGACAGGTTGGTAGGATAAAGTTGACATGTTGGTAGGAAAAAGGTGACAGGTTGGTAGGATAAAGGTGACAGGTTGGTAGGATAAAGTTGACATGTTGGTAGGATAAAGGTGACAGGTTGGTAGGATAAAGGTGACAGGTTGGTAGGCTAAAAGTGACATGTTAGTAGGATAAAGGTGACAGGTTGGTAGGATAAAGGTGGCAGGTTGGTAGGATAATTGTGATAGGTTGGTAGGATAAAGGTGACAGGTTGGTAGGATAAAGGTGACAGGTTGGTAGAATAAAGGTGACAGGTTGGTAGGATAATTGTGACAGGTTGGTAGGATAATTGTGACAGGTTGGTAGGATAAAGGTGACAGGTTGGTAGGATAAAGGTGACAGGTTGGTAGGATAAAGGTGACAGGTTGGTAGGATAAAGGTGACAGGTTGGTAGGATAAAGGTGACAGGTTGGTAGGATAAAGTTGACCTGTTGGTAGGATAAAGGTGACAGGTTGGTAGGATAAAGGTGACAGGTTGGTAGGATAATTGTGACAGGTTGGTAAGATAAAGGTGACAGGTTGGTAGGATAAAGTTGACCTGTTGGTAGGATAAAGGTGACAGGTTGGTAGGATAAAGGTGACAGGTTGGTAGGATAAAGGTGACAGGATGGTAGGATAATTGTGACAGGATGGTAGGATAATCGTGACAGGTTGGTAGGTTAAAGGGTGTTAAAAGAATTGAAAAATCCCAATTGTAAAATGAAGAACCGTAACTGAGATCTTTTTGCTACTAGCCTCAATGCTGCTTTGGATGCTGACCCATCAAATGAGGAAGTTCATTATAATGCTACTGCACATCAAAGGTAAGAAACCTCAGTTTTGGAGTATATTTCTATTTATATCACAACTGACCTTTTAAATAATTGGATGGCAACTGAAAATGTAAACTATTTGAACTGACAAATTTAAATAGCTTCATTAATTCAACTTGATGGTATAAGCTATTAATATTCAACTTTGACATTTCATTGACATTTATATGACATTTCATTGACATTTAAATATGACATTTTTCTTTGTCATTCCTCTTGAAAGAGCACACAATGGGCAGATGCCTCGAGGTGTTATGGACTTTAATTTCTCGGCTGCTCCTGTGGGTTCCGATCCCTTCCATGTGGTCATGATGTTCAACAATACGGGAACTGTCCCATGTGACTGGTGGGTTTAGTGCAGGTGTCAGTGCTTTTATGGTGCACATAAACATTTCTCTTACATCTCTTACATCTCTTACATCTCTTACATCTTAGTGCAGCTCTAAGTGTCAGAGCCTTCATGTTGTATACAAAAATTTCTCTTACATCTCTTACATCTCTTACATCTCTTACATCTCTTACATCTCTTACATCTCTTACATCTCTTACATCTCTTACATCTCTTACATCTCTTACATCTTAGTGCAGCTCTAAGTGTTAGAGCCTTCATGTTGTATACAAAAATTTCTCTTACATCTCTTACATCTCTTACATCTTAGTGCAGCTCTAAGTGTCAGAGCCTTCATGTTGTATACAAACATTTCTCTTACATCTCCTACATCTCCTACATCTAGGGCCTTCATGTTTCCAAAAGATATAGAGTTAGAGCTAGGCTATTGGGTGGAGGATGGTGAAAGGAGCAATGATGAGCTACATGAGGTAATTTTCTAATGTTTAATTTGACAGTTAGTGTTTTTAGTTTGAAAGTTAATGTGTTTAGTTTAACAGTTTGCATGTTTACTTTGACAGTTTGTGTGTTTAATTTGACAGTTAGTGTTTTTAGTTTGAAAGTTTATGTGTTTAGTTTGACAGTTTGTACATTTACTTTGACAGTTTGTGTGTTTAATTTGACAGTTATATTGACAGTATTTGTGTTTATACTTATAAGATATGTAGGCATATTTATTCTGATTCAACTCTTTTTATTTATGTTTTTAATAATATAGTTTTTAGATAAACTTGTAAATTTGTTGCAAAAGGTCAAATGTGTTGCATAACTTGTCAAAAAAAAAAAACACTTGTGTATGGGTTAGAATTAGCATGGAGTTTTTTAAAACATGCAGATGGTATTAAAAACTATTTTTTTTCCAGATGAAAGTTATGGAAAATAAAGTTTTTGATGTTAGCCCAAAGAGAGGCACCCTTCAACCAGGGGAAACTATCCATGTTAACTTTCAATATAGACACTCAATGGCTGGGACGGACAGACTTCCTGTATTGCTAAAAATAGCAAGAGGAAGGGAATTAATGGTTAGGAAACTTTTTCTCTGACCAAATGATACACTGGCAAACATTTTTTAGTTCTTTAATAAAACTTTTCTTATAAGTTTAAAATATGATTCTAACCTGAGAATTAAAATATGATTCTAACCTGAGAATTAAAATATGATTCTAACCTGAGAATTAAAATTGATTTCAGTTGAATTTTCTGGGAGTGACTGTAGACCCAAGTCACCCATACATTCACTTACCCTCCAACAGACACACGTTCAACCCAGTCTCTGTAGGAGAGACAACCAGCCCTGTTCAGGTACCTTCACTCTTTCTCACCAGTTGCTCCACATTCAGGCATTTACCCAACATTTAGTATGTCACCCACATTTAGAATGTCACCCAACATTTAGTATGACACCCACATTTAGAATGTCACCCAACATTTAGAATGTCACCCGACATTTAGTATATCACCCACATTTAGAATGTCACCCACATTTAGAATGTCACCCAACATTTAGTATGACACCCACATTTAGAATGTCACCCAACATTTAGTATGTCACCCGACATTTAGAATGTCACCCAACATTTAGTATGACACCCACATTTAGAATGTCACCCAACATTTAGAATGTCACCCAACATTTAGTATATCACCCACATTTAGAATGTCACCCAAAATTTAAAATGTCACCCAACATTTAGTATGTCACCCACATTTAGAATGTCACCAACATTTAGAATGTCACCCAACATTTAGAATGTCACCAACATTTAGAATGTCACCCACATTTAGAATGTCACCCAACAGTTAGAATGTCACCCGACATTTAGAATGTCACCCAACATTTAGTATGTCACCCACATTTAGAATGTCACCAACATTTAGAATGTCACCCAACATTTAGAATGTCACCCAACATTTAGAATGTCACCCAACATTTAGTATATCACCCACATTTAGAATGTCACCCACATTTAGAATGTCACCCACATTTAGAATGTCACCCACATTTAGAATGTCACCCACATTTAGAATGTCACCCACATTTAGAATGTCACCCACATTTAGAATGTCACCTGACATTTAGAATGTCACCCACATTAACTCTTTCTATACCAGAGGCGTTTCCACCTCCTGACCTCATTATTTCTGTGACCCAATTTTTTTTACACAGCCCTCACCTACTTAAACAATTATAGCTCCTATGTTTTTCTAACCAGATTTATGTATTATACCTCAAAATGAACAGAAATGAAATGTCTATAGTAGTAAATAAAGATAATTGTGAGTTATTTTAAAGAATGTATATTTTTTACATGTTAAATGACTTGTTAAAAGACACTAGCGGTGTCGAGCCGTACCTTGCGGCTCGCGTGCCTACGGTGAAGCTGGCCCAAGCCGCATCTCTCGGCTCATGGGATGGATTGAGTTAAGAATGTCACCCACATTTAGAATGTCACCCAACACTTAGAATGTCAACCACATAAAGACTGTCACCCACATTAAGAATGTCACTCACATTTAGAATGTCACCCGACATTTAGAATGTCACCCAACATTTAGTATGTCACCCACATTTAGAATGTCACCCAACATTTAAAATGTCACCCAACATTTAGTATGTCACCCACATTTAGAATGTCATCCACATTTAGAATGTCACCCACATTTAGAATGTCATCCACATTTAGAATGTCACCCGACATTTAAAATGCATCAAACATTTAGAATGTCATCCACATTTAGAATGTCACCCACATTTAGAATGTCACCCACATTTAGAATGTCACCCAACATTTAGAATGTCACCCAACATTTAGTATGTCACCCACATTTAGAATGTCACCCAACATTTAGTATGTCACCCACATTTAGAATGTCACCCGACATTTAAAATGCATCAGACATTTAGAATGTCATCCACATTTAGAATGTCACCCACATTTAGAATGTCACCCACATTTAGAATGTAACCCACATTTAGAATGTCACCTGACATTTAGAATGTCATGTGGTTCTTAACCTATTTGGTTTTACCAAACTCACCAGCTTTAAAAGCGATTTCACCTAAACAAAATAAAAAAATTCAATTTAAAAAAAATTAATCATGTATTAAGCTCAGTGTGTTCAGAGAGAGAACAAAATCATTAAAATATGATTTTCAGTGGCTCTTTAAAACCAGGAAAATTTTGAAAATTGTGACTTTTGGCTCTTCCGCTTCAAAAGGTTGCCGACCCCTGGTCTAGTGCGTGTGTTAACCTCCTCCAAACTAATGAGATTCACTCATTAAACCTCTGAGATTCACTCACTAACCCTTTGGGATTCACTCACTAAACACATGCGATCCAATCACTAAACACCTGAGATTCACTCACTTAGCCCCGGGAATACACTTACTTAGCCCCAGGGGCTAGGCCAAACCACTGGTCTAGAATGATAAAATATATCCCAAAATAAATAAAAAATATCTTTAGTTTTATGTTTAGGGTTAAGGTTTGGTTTAGGACTAAAATGCTATCATCTTATTTCCCATTTTCAGATGTATGAACTCTACAATGGAGGTGCCATCCCTGTTTCATATGAATGTGATTTAACACCATTGGATATAATTAAAGCAGTAAGTTCACTTTTATATACATTTTTTTTGGCTAAGTTTGATTAACAAATATTTGATTTTCTATAAAATGTTTGTAGGAGAATTTTGATCAACAAATATTTGAATGCTTAAACCCAAGTGGAACAATTCAACCAGGACGTTCAGCTTTTATACACTGGAGATTTTTTCCTTTGGAAGCCAAGATGTACATGGTAAGTTTAAGTTAGGGTTTGGATTGGGGGGGGGGGGGGGGTGGAGCCAGGTGTACATGGTAAGTTCAAGTTTGGGGGGGGGGGAGGCAGGTGTACATGGTATGTTAGGTTTTGGGAGGGGGGAGCCAGGTGTACATGCTATGTTAGGTTTTGGGAGGGGGGAGCCAGGTGTACATGCTATGTTAGGTTTTGGGGAGGGGGGGCAGGTGTACATGGAATGTTTAAGTTTGGGGGGGGGAGGCAGGTGTACATGGTAAGTTTAAGTTTGGGGGGGGGAGGCAGGTGTACATGGTAAGTTTAAGTTTCGGGGGGGGGGGGGAGGCAAGTGTACATGGTAAGTTTAAGTTTGGGGGGGGGGGAGGCAGGTGTACATGGTATGTTAGGTTTTGGGAGGGGGGAGCCAGGTGTACATGCTATGTTAGGATTTGGGGGGGGGGGGTGGGGAGCCAGATGTACATGCTATGTTAGGTTTTGGGAGGGGGGAGCCAGGTGTACATGCTATGTTAGGTTTTGGGGAGGGGGGGCAGGTTACATGGAATGTTTAAGTTTGGGGGGGGAGGCAGGTGTACATGGTAAGTTTAAGTTTGGGGGGGGGGGAGGCAGGTGTACATGGTAAGTTTAAGTTTCGGAAGGGGGGGGGAGACAAGTGTACATGGTAAGTTTAAGTTTGGGGGGGGGGGAGGCAGGTGTACATGGTATGTTAGGTTTTGGGAGGGGGGAGCCAGGTGTACATGCTATGTTAGGATTTGGGGGGGGGGGGGGGTGGGGAGCCAGATGTACATGCTATGTTAGGTTTTGGGGGGGGGGGGGAGGCAGGTGTACATGGTAAGTTTAAGTTTGGGGGGGGGGGAGGCAGGTGTACATGGTAAGTTTAAGTTTGGGGGGGGGGGGAGGCAGGTGTACATGGTAAGTTTAAGTTTGGGGGGGGGTGGGGAGCCAGGTGTACATGCTATGTTAGGTTTTGGGGGGGGGGGGGGAGCCAGGTGTACATGGTATGATATGGTTTGGGGGGGGAGCCAGGTGTACATGGTATGTTAGGATTTGGGGGGGGGGTGGGGAGCCAGGTGTACATGCTATGTTAGGTTTTGGGGGGGGGGAGCCAGGTGTACATGGTATGATATGGTTTGGGGGGGGGGGGGGCCATGTGTACATGGTATGTTAGGTTTTGGGGGGGGGGAGCCAGATGTACATGGTATGATAGGGTTTGGGGGGGGCAGGTGTACATGGTATGTTAGGTTTTGGGAGGGGGGGAGCCAGGTGTACATGGTATGTTAGGGTTTGGGGGGGGGGAGCCAGATGTACATGGTATGTTAGGTTTTGGGAGGGGGGAGCCAGGTGTACATGCTATGTTAGGATTTGGGGGGGGGGGGTGGGGAGCCAGATGTACATGCTATGTTAGGTTTTGGGGGGGGGAGCCAGGTGTACATAGTATGTTTGGGGGGGGGGGAGGCAGGTGAACATGGTATGTTAGGTTTTGGGAGGGGGGAGCCAGATGTACATGGTATGTTAGGTTTTGGGGAGGGGGGGTGCGTTTGTACATGGTATGTTTAAGTTTGGGGGGGGGGGGAAGTCAGGTGTACATGGTAAGTTTAAGTTTGGGGGGGGGGGAGGCAAGTGTAAATGGTAAGTTAGGATTTGGGGGGTGGGGGTGGGGAGCCAGGTGTACATGCTATGTTAGGTTTTGGGGGGGGGGGGAGCCAGGTGTACATGGTATGTTAGGTTTTGGGGGGGGGGGAGCCAGATGTACATGGTATGATAGGGTTTGGGGGGGGGGGGGAGCCAGGTGTACATGGTATCTTAGGGTTTGGAGGGGGGGGAGTCAGGTGTACATGGTATGATAGGGCTTGGGTGGGGGGGGGGGGAGAGCCAGGTGTACATGGTATGTTAGGGTTTGGGGGGGGGAGCCAGATGTACATGGTATGTTAGGTTTTGGGAGGGGGGGGAGCCAGGTGTACATGGTATGATAGGGTTTGGGGGAGGGGGGAGCCAGGTGTACATGGTATGATAGGGTTTGGGGGGGGGAGCCAGGTGTACATGGTATGATAGGGTTTGGGGGAGGGGGGAGCCAGGTGTACATGGTATGATAGGGTTTGGGGGGGGGGGAGCCAGATGTACATGCTATGTTATGTTTTGGGGAGGGGGGAGCCAGGTGTAAATGGTATGTTATGTTTTGGGGAGGGGGGAGCCAGGTGTACATGGTATGATAGGGTTTGGGGGGGGGGGGAGTCAGGTGTATATGGTATGATAGGATTTGGGGGGGGGAGCCAGGTGTATATGGTATGATAGGGTTTGGGGGGGGGAGCCAGGTGTACATGCTATGTTAGGTTTTGGGGGGGGGGGGGGGGGTTAGCCAGGTGTACATCGTATGATATGATTTGGGGGGGGAGGCAGGTGTACATGGTAAGTTTAAGTTTGGGGGGGGGGGAGGCAGGTGTACATGGTAAGTTTAAGTTTGGGGGGGGGCAGGTGAACATGGTATGTTCGGTTTTGGGGGGGGGGGGGAGCCAGGTGTACATGGTATGTTAGGATTTGGGGGGGGGGTGGGGAGCCAGGTGTACATGCTATGTTAGGTTTTGGGGGGGGGGGAGCCAGGTGTACATGGTATGATATGGTTTGGGGGGGGGGAGCCAGGTGTACATGGTATGTTAGGATTTGGGGGGGGGGGGGTGGGGAGCCAGGTGTACATGCTATGTTAGGTTTTGGGGGGGGAGCCAGGTGTACATGGTATGATAGGGTTTGGGGGGGGGCAGGTGTACATGGTATGTTAGGTTTTGGGAGGGGGGGAGCCAGGTGTACATGGTATGTTAGGGTTTGGGGGGGGGAGCCAGATGTACATGGTATGTTAGGTTTTGGGGGGGGGAGCCAGGTGTACATGGTATGATAGGGTTTGGGGGGGGGGCAGGTGTACATGGTATGTTAGGTTTTGGGAGGGGGGGAGCCAGGTGTACATGGTATGTTAGGGTTTGGGGGGGGGGGAGCCAGATGTACATGGTATGTTAGGTTTTGGGGGGGGGGGAGCCAGATGTACATGGTATGATAGGGTTGGGGGGGGGGAGCCAGATGTACATGGTATGTTAGGGTTTGGGGGGGGGGAGCCAGATGTACATGGTATGTTAGGTTTTGGGAGGGGGGGAGCCAGGTGTACATGGTATGTTAGGGTTTGGGGGGGGTGGGGGAGAGCCAGGTGTACATGGTATGTTATGTTTTGGGGGAGGGGGGAGCCAGGTGTACATGCTATGTTAGGGTTTGGGGGGGGGGGAGAGCCAGGTGTACATGGTATGTTAGGGTTTGGGGGGGGGTGGGGGAGAGCCAGGTGTACATGGTATGTTATGTTTTGGGGGAGGGGGGGAGCCAGGTGTACATGCTATGTTAGGGTTTGGGGGAGGGGGGAGCCAGGTGTACATGGTATGATAGGGTTTGGGGGGGGGGGAGCCAGGTGTATATGGTATGATAGGGTTTGGGGGGGGGGGAGCCAGGTGTACATGGTATGTTAAGGTTTGGAAGGTTAGGTTTCCGTGGAGCAAAGATGTACAATAGAAGTTAGGGTTATGGTTAGGTTTAGGGTAAGGGTTAGGTATGATAATTTAAAGCTATTTTTTACTTTTGTTTTTGTCCAAATAAAAACTAATTTGCAATTTTTTAAATTGGTTAAACGAACATTGAGAGATTAGACTAGTTAAATGAACAGTTAAAAGTTGGACAAGTTAAATTAAAATTTTCTAGTTTTTTTTAGAAAGAGTTTGTCATAAAACTATAAAAAAGATCAACTGGGATTAGGTTAACAAAGGCTTGTTGTACAAGAGACACGCCATCAAGTTTTTTATTGTTGTACAAGAAACACTTGAAGTGGATTGAGATCTTATAATTCTAGACAGATAATACAACAGACGAGGAAGCCATTTTATGTACGCCTTGTTTATTCTGTATCGGAAACGGAAACATAACATGCAAGGGACATCACTCAACATTATAAGACTAATACAAGAAGAATGAGTTCCCCCCCCCCCCCCACATAAAGCTTAATATATTACATCCCTTTACCCTTAGTAAATAATAACACAGCTTTCAAGAGAATAAATGATAGTATCTTAAAATCACTTTGCTATTTCCTTCTTTAGTTTGAAACATTAGAATTGCCAAGCAATAATAGAAGAAAGATTGAATAATGATCCCCTTTCAATTAATAACACTTCAAAAGTCAATACAAAACATTATATGCATTCCTTCCGAAATGTTAAACAATTTAATAAGTCACTAATATATTGTAACATAAACATTATATGATTTGAATAATTTGGTAGATTAAATCCTTACAAACAAATGCAAAATATGCTACAAACATAATTAAAATACAAAACAATGTCAAGGTCCTCTTAACCTTTAAAATCAAAGGTCTAACTTATCTGGGACTTTGATTGTCCTGTTTGACCTTCTCAGTGGCTGTTGATTTGGTGACTCAAGATTCTGACCATCTGGACTCTCTAGCTCAGGGAGTCCAGGATCTAAATCATTAATTCCAGAATTTACATTTTCTGACTCTAGAATACTTGGTTCACTCATATCAACAGACCTTGGTTGTGGAACAAACTGATATGGTGTGAACCGGTCAAATCTGGTGGGATTGATAGATTCACACTTATTATCTGCACAAGTTATTTTTAACTGGTCTGCATGTCTACGGACAATAAGTCCATTATTTGTTTTTACTTTATAAGACACAGGTCCTGTACATTGAACAATTTGACCTGGCATCCATTTTTCCCCTCTCCCATAATTTCTCAGATACACATTATCATTAACCCCAAATTCTCTCTCAATGGATGTTTTGTCATGATTTAATTTTTGTGTATGTTGATGTTGGGAAACAGACCTTTGAACAGTTGGATGTAGTAGGTCAAGGTGAGTTTTAATTTTCCTACCACACAGCAATTCGCATGGTGCAACACCTGTTGTTATATGAGGAGTTGTGCGGTATTTGGCTAAGAACCTGTTTACTCTTT